TTATATACATTTAAGAAAAGATTAAAAATATTTTTGTTCTTAAAATATAAAGTAAATTAGTTTGATTTACCCCCCCCCCCCCCTGACACCCACACACACACACTAATACTTACACATTATACACGATGCATCATTGTCTTGGTCATTTTGAGGAGAATACGCGCATACTTTCCCCTTATTTTCTCTTTAATAATTATATGCGCAGTTATCGATTTATACGGTCTTACTTTTTTACTGATAATCTGATTTGTATTGACAATAGTATACGGAATGTAGAATAACTGATTTGTTATTTTGGAAATGTTACGTCCACGTCTGTGCTGTATATTCGTTTTTTTGTTTGTTATTGAATGTCTTTCTCTGTCTTACATTGTCTCTACTTGTTACTGTTCTGTCTTCGCGGGCTTGTCATTGTCTTTACTTTATTTTTTATTTATTTTTTTTATTTTAAAAACAAAGAGCAAACTTTTATATTAATATATTTGTGTTTTTTGTTCTGTATAAGCTAATTTGTGTAATGCTACTTTGTTATTTTGAGGGACCCATAATCTACAAGTATCCACTTTTTAATGGGTCCCTCCATTTCCATAGAAAATATCAATTTTTTTTTGTATTATGTTATTCAAACTTTGTTTATATGCAGTTTAAGTATTTGTAAATGATATTATTCACATGTTATCTTGTTCAATTTTTTGTTTTGTTTTAATGAAATATTGTTCTGATTTCTGTGGAAATGAAAAATAAACTTGAATTGAATTGAATTGAATCATGGAAAGCCGTAAAATGCAATTTTGTGGCTAGCTGTCTTTCGCATGTGGCGTCACAAATCTTGACGCTCTAGGGAGGAGCGCTGAAGGCACAAAATCTGGATTTCAAAATTAACATTTTTGAGAGACCATTACTGCGGGCCCCAAACATTTTTTGAAGAGGGAAGTTGTTATAATTGATCAGTAAGGCTTCTCCTTCGCAATAATATGAATTTTGCATCGATTCAAAACACTTTAGATTCTTTGGGTGACTACTTCAAAATACCTGCTTGCATGGCTTGTGGTTTTAAACTTTAAATATGTGAGCAGGAGGGTGTTTCACAAAGATCCCAAGTCGAACTTAACTCTAAGTTGGACTTAACTATTACGGGAAGCTGTTAGCATCTTTGAAAATATTTTGTAAAAGTTATTTTAAAAGGCATAAAATGTTGATTCAAATCATTTGTGTTTTCTATTATCAAAGGAGATTTCATGTTCTTGATGAATAATTTATGAAAAGTCTAAAATACTTAAATTTTGGCTTTTTAATATACATGTATTTTATTTTAAGGCTACAAATGGCTCTCCATAATATTAAGTCCAACTTAGAGTTAAGTTCGACTTGGGATCTTTGTGAAACACCCCCCTGGTACTCGTTTCAGTCCTGTGTGAACCCTCATCATTGCTTGTGGATCACGGTAACATGCACACTGAACATTTAAAACTACATGGTCCCCTATGAACATAGCTAATACTAACTACATGTCAACAACATGCTCTGTTACAATCATCAGTTCTTCTACAAGCATGTCACACATAATTTGCTGAAACTAAATACTTCAAGACACCTCTCCTTTCCATGTTCAAAATTGTTAGACCGCAAGTGCCCGTTTAAAATTGCGCGCAGACACTGACATTATTGACTGTATTCTCTGTGCAAGTTTGTAACGTAAATGTGATACATGCAGGTATCACATGAACAATTAACTATTTAAATGTGTTTCCTTATCAGTACTTGTGAAATCAATACTAAATTCAGAAGATAATACAAGTGATACTAAGATTTAGTTTGAATTGGTCAAGAATTCTTTAGCAGCTCCATTACATGTAATACATATGTATGTATTGTATATCAAAAGTTGAGATTGCAAAGTTGTCCATTAATAAACACGACTTTATGACATGAAAATATGTTGAGAGATGATATTATAGATTAGCGCCATTTTGATGACATAACCTTTGTGCCCTACCTGATCAAGGTGTGGTTATTATAAAAACATGACCTTTATTCAAAGCTCATCTACTAACCTTGCTTCAAGGATAAATCATTTACTTTTCTTAATCAAAATCATACAGTTTTAAAGAGAAGGTTCAGTTCTGGGAAGAGGTGAACAAAAAGTTGTGAGCGTTATCATTGTATTAAATGCAGGTGTGGAAGAACATCAGATAAAAAATGTTCTCTGAAAAGCATGGCTCTTCAAATGCCTTAATAAGGCATGTACATGTACATGTAACATTAGAGGAATATGGTGTTGATAGATTAACAGAAATTATTAACAAAATATATGATGACGAAACATTTCCAGATGAATTGGGCAGATCCATTTTCATTACTCTCCCAAAGAAACCGGGAGCCGTGGATTGTGAGCAATAAAGGACAATCAGCCTTATTTGCCATATCACTAAGATTATTTTGAGGATTTTGCTTTTGAGAGCAAGAAGTAGAATATCTCCCATGGTTGGAAGGGAACAATTTGGTTTTGTAAAGGATGCGGGCACAAGAAATGCAATATTTGTGGTTAGAAATATAACGGAGAGAGCAGTCGAAATGCAAAAGGATGTGTATATGTGTTTTATTGATTATTCAAAGGCTTTTGATAAAGTAAAACATTCAGAACTTTTTGAAGAGATGAAAAACCTTGATATGTATAGGAAAGATCTAAGACTGCTACAAAGTCTATATTGGAATCAGTTTGCATGCATCAGGGTAGAAGGAGAGTGTAGTGAATATATTAACATCAGATGGGGAGTCAGACAGGGCTGTGTTATGTCACCAGACCTGTTCAATATGTATAGTGAAATCATTCTAAGAGAATTGGAAGATGAAAATAGGATACAAGTGGGTGGTCATTTGATCACAAATATTAGATATGCTGATGACACTGTTTTATTTTCTAAATCAGAAAAATATCTCCAGAGACTCCTGAATGTAGTTGTAAAAGAAAGTGAGAGAATGGGACTAGAGATCAACTATACCAAGACAAAGTGCCTGGTGGTCTCTAAGAAGAGCAGTCCAAAATGTAACTTGAAACTGAAAGAACAGATTATTAAACAAGTCTCCTCATTTAACTACCTCGGCAGCATGATCACCGAGGATGCCAGATGTGAGACAGAGATCAAGAGAAGGATAGCTCTTGCTAAATCTGCATTTTCAAAGCTAGGCAAAATTCTGACAAATCGAACAATGAGTATGAGGACCAGAATAAGAGTATTAAATTGTTACATCTACCCAGTACTTATGTATGGTAGTGAAATGTGGACTTTAGCCTCTGATACTAAAAAGCGTTTGGAAAGTTGCGAAATGTGGTTCTTAAGAAGAATGATGAAAATCCCCTGGACTGACAGAGTTAGTAATGAGGAAGTTCTTACACGAGCTGGAGTGCAAAGGAAAGTGATACCTGAGATGATGATTAGGCAGTTGAAGTTCATGGGTCACATTACACGTTAAGAAGGCCCAGAGAATCTTGCTTTGACAGGGAAAATTGTGGGAAGAAGGAGTAGGGGAAGAAGGAGGATACTTTGGATGGACAGTCTGCAGAAATTGTTGGAAGAGAGAGGAGTGAAAGAACTGGGAGTGGTACTAATACAGAAGGCTAGGAACCGAGGGTTGTGGAACAGCATGATCGCCAAAGTCAATCGATATGGCACTTAGAGAGAGAGAGACATGTAACATCATAAAAACAGGACAGATTTTTATGCCACATGTTCGTGTACATGTACATGTAGCCCCATATAAATCTTTCTGTATACAGTGCTTGTCACTTCACCAAGACGTGGCCAAATTTCCTATCATTTTGATGATTCCAGAACCTTGCAGTACACACCAATGCTAGATAATCAACCTTTTCTGACATTTCTTTCACAATTGAATTGCACGACTAGAACTCATCTTTATCTTTCAGTCCTGTCTGTCTTTACTCTGTAGATTAGAATGATAATGCCAATGATCAATCTCATTGTCTCGGTGTAAAACATACTTTTCTGCTTCCGGGAACTCTTTTAGAATTTGGGTTATATTAAAGCTTTTCTCAGTGATATAATTGTTTTAAAACCCAAGCTCTTTTTTATGAACCAGTGAACCTTTGGAGCATTTGAGAGAAAATTGCTCAACACTCCTGTGTATATATTTTAGATTGAACTGCCTCCTCATTCACTGCAGTGGGCAATGATTGCAAGTCATTAGCATGGCACAAAGAAATAGGTCATTAAGGCTGTAAGCCAAACTACAGGTAGTAATCTGCAAGTATAATGAACCTAAGGATCACTATGTTTACCGAATGGGTTATCAGGAGCATTCACACTGCGGTCAAATACTGTCCGTTTTTCTCGCATTCCAGAGTTTTGATGGAAGTTGCTATAAAACAACTACCCTTTAACACGACCACAAAAAAACACAGAAACTCCAGTGGTTTTGCTGTGTAAATGCTTGCTCTCAGAACACCAGTGAATTATTTCTGTTTAAGGTCAGGTGACCCTCCTCGCTTTCCTGCTAACGCATGCAGAGCAGCAACAAGTTACGCATACGCACGACTAAAAAAAAAAAAACATTGATCAAACACAAACTTTTTTTTACGAGTTTTCCAGTAGTGCAAATGGTATTAAAAAAAACAAAAAAACAATACTTTTTTTTCTTCAAACCGTTTTTTGTGCAATGGGAATGGGGCTACTGGGAGGGGTCTAATACCTTTGTGATATGGCCTACTTTGTCAACATTCTCTGGTGGCCTATCTTGGATAAGGGTTTGATCAGCCGCCCAACATGTGCACATACTTGCATATGGGTTACAGCATGAGCTGTTAACCGTGCCGTTTGGCAAGAGAATTCTGCTCATTCCTAATTATTCACTTTAACATCAAATATCCCAGTGATCTCTTGAATGTAACACTTACATTTACACTTGTAAGTAAAAAACAAAAAACAAAACAAAACATGGAATAGCTAAAATGCAATGATTATCAACATGTTGATTCCTACCTTTTTGTTGAGTTTCAGCCATGTAATAAGACCTTTAGAATCGATGTACTGCAAGCCGAAGAACCAGATTTCCCTCAGACCTATTGTTTTAACAACCTAAGGATAAGAAATATCAAAATATTGAATAAAAACAGGAAATAGAAAATATTTGAACTGCATGCAAAGTGCAAACCAAATGAGTTCCTAGCATACCAATGTGTGGGGTGTGTGTTTTTTTTTGTGGGGGGGGGGGGGGGGGGGGAGGGAGGGAGGGGGAGAATATAAGATAATTCAGTGTCATCCAATATGTTATAAAGTATTGAGAAGTTTTTGACGCAAGTAGCATTAAATCAATGCATCATTTCTTTTATGTGATCTGATCCAAGTTTTAGCAGGGCTATAAAATCAATACAACAAAAATAATACAAACGATGAAATGTACCAACATTTTGGACTGGCCCAATTATAAATGTGTGAGTTGCAGTCAAATTCCTTTTACCACAATGGAGCTACATGTATACTATACACGTGCTTCTCAACTGCCGGTACATGTACATGTATCCCGGCCCCCCCCACTCAGAGGTCGGAATGACCGCATGCGTGTTGCCAAAATGTCCGGTAAAGGGGTACTTTTCGTGCGACAAAGTCCGGCCCGAGAATTGTAAAAAAAGGGGTGTATTTGACTTTTCACCCGGAGATTTCTTTAAAAAGGGGGAGTTTTACTTTTTTTTCTCTCATCTCTTTGGACTCCTGAGAAATTATTCCAAATTTAAGGGGGTACATTGAGCATTTTTCCTGATTTAGGGGGGTCTCCAAGGCAGGAAAAGCCCGCGAAAAGCCCGCGAAAGGGGGGTTCGGAAATGTTGGCAGTCCTCAGATAAGGGGTGCTTTCAAAAAGAGGGTACGAGCATATGCGTACCCTAAATAACACTGAGTGGGGGGGGGGGGGGGGGGCGGGACATGTATTTAACTTTTCCTCACTGCAACAATATGTGTGTATAGTACAGTTAACCTAATTATTCTTACCCTTACCAAGTTTTGTCATTTTTTTAAGTTTGTGAAAAATTGAATTGTCTTGATTTATGTTTTCTTGAGAATGTGACATATTAAAGCTTACATCTAAAATAACTCAACAAAGGCTCTAATTCAACCAGTCCACCTTTCATTCTCCAGTTTAATACAAAAAACACAGAAAACATCACATTCACAAGGGTTAGTTGTTATTAACTGTACATGTAGCTGGAATAGATCAAATGATTGAACATGTGAGAGCTACGTGTAGCTGCCCTTTTAGACACATCTGTCAACAAACCAACTCCTCCCACCTCTCTCTCAATCATACAAATCATCCGACAGGTAAATCTACACTAATGACCTATCTATCAGGGATACACCCAAACATTGCATACAAAGTTCAACTTGGGACACTCCCTAGAAAACTTCCACTGGTAAGGTGGAGAGGGGGAGGGGTGGGGGGGGGGGGGTACATGTAGCAAGCAAGATGCTTGCAAGCCTAATGCCTCATTCTGTGGCAAGTTTTTTTTAATGATGAAGTATAAAGTGTAAGACACAGAGCTCATTCAATACATGTTGGACCTTTGTACAGTTAGAAGTTGTGACTACTTTTCATGTTCATTGGAAGACAACTTTTTGGTAAATGGCAACTGCTTAAACCATATTGTTAGAGCATTACATTGTAAGCAAATTTTTAAAATAAAAGTGAGTCACATATTCATGATTACATACAATTTCTTACACTGAACATATTATCTGAATCAATGTTAGTTCCTGAAACCAGAAAAAACAAACCCCCAAAAAAGCTATTTTTTACCCATTAAGTTATAAGAGAGGGGTGTAACAATCAAAGATTGGAGACATGTGCAACTGATGAAACAATGTTTGTTTTACTGATATGTCACAACATGTACTTTGTTCAAAACTATTGTTTTGTTTTTGCTCAAGAATGATTGAAATAAAACATTTCTTTGAAGAAAAAAAAGAAGAAAAAAAAAAACAATCAAAGAGTTATGTTTGTAAACATTAAGTCTATGGGATGTCACTGAACTTGTGCTTGTCACAGTTTTGTGAAACCATGACCTGAGGGTCATTGTCCTTTATTAAACTCCTAGTAAGGAGCAAATTTTGGTGTACTACAGAATGGCAAGTGAAGATGGACAAAATAGCTGCATGTGACAAAGGTACTTCCCATAGTCCTGTACTGAATAACCTGCATTTTATAAGATATGAACAAGTGATGAGCGGTATGCTAAAAATATAAAACGCCCATAGAATGTAAACCACCTCTGTTTGCTGGGGCACATGTAAATGAGCCTATAGATTAACACATTGATTCTCACCTGATCAAAGAGCTGTTTGCCTGTAGTGTTTGGCTGAATGGCAAACTCCAGCTCCGCATCCATAGTAGTCACACGCACTGCAACCTGCTGGAATAAATACAAAATAGCAAAGTCAAATTCTTATGTTCTAAAAAAATAAAATAATTCTAATCACTTACAAGAAACGAAATACATGTTTTTAAAAAAAAGAGATCTTCATTGGTACTTGCAACCTGCAACCTGTATCAAATACAAAATGGGAATTCTAATTCTCATGTTGGAAAAATAAAATTCTTATCACTTACAAAATAATAAATAAATACACTTGATAAAGTATGAGCTTAGGAGATCTTTATTGGTACTAGCTTTGAAGGCATCATGAACGCTCTTTGGGGGAACACTATTTCTAATATACTGTACATCTTATTCCCTGCATACTTCAGTGTGTTTGACCATAGGCCCATGATTTGACCTGCCTCCAAGTGGGACATCGACTCCATCCTTGGATCATACAATCACGAAATGCTTTAGATACAAGTAGCTCCAATATAACCTATAATTCCTTCCATTTCCCCGAGTTGTATTTGCGTGAAAGTTAGGCAATAATTCTATCATTATCATTATCATCACCATCAATCAGCATCATCAATATCATCATTTGTAATTTTGTATCATTATTTATTTTAAAAAAAACACATCAAAAACATTGATTCTTAGATAATTCTGCAACAGATGAAAGTATATTCTGCATAAAATTAAAGGTTTGGTAGGCAAAATTATCTGTATTTCTGTAAGTAATGCAGTAGTCTTGTATCATAGGAAAGAAAGACATCTACATGTACATGTACAGGTGTATTTGATTTGATATGCTCTTGATTTAAATTACCCCCCCCCTATATATTATATTTTCAAAGCTTTTTCAAATGTAATGTACATGTATGACACTAAAATACATTACATACAGCAAGGTTTTATCAATCATAAGCAAATCATATGTATATACTGTGCAGATTATGAGTAATTGAGCAAATATGTAAACATGTTTAGACCTGCAAAAGGGATATTCTTTTTGATTTGTTTTCCTGCCCTGATATTGTGCATATCATTTTTTATAAACAGAAATTATATTTCTTCATTTGCTTTCTCTCATCTTCACAAGGCTAAGAAACCAAACAATATCAATGTATTTCTGACATGTTCTCTCTCTCAGAATCTCTAGTCAATAAACAGTTTATGAATGCAATCCACTTAGAATAATTATTTGTTTACTATCAATGTTTGGCAAGCCTCAGAGAAAATATGAAAAACAATTATACTTCCTCTTTCCAAGAACAGTGAGAGTCTGGAAAATTCTTTCTACCGGAAATGGTGATTCCACGATTACTGGCAACCTTTTGTCAGAATTAAATTAAAGGCAGACCTGAGTTATGCATGATGTGCTTTTAATTTACTTGCACCAAATACAATCTTTACAAAAATTGCGTAGAGTACTACAGTAGTACACATCAACCTGCAAGAACCTTCAGTATTGAAAGAGGCAGAGGGGCCCAGATGAAAAAGAAGTAATCTACTCAACTGCATTCTACTTTTAGTAATCTTTAAAGTGACCATCAAAAACTGATCACCCAGACTGTAGCAATGTTACTCACCCCACGAGGCATGATGGCGACTTTTGTTTGACTAGCAAGATTAGAAGAAAAGCGACTATCTCTCCGATCGGTCTCCTCCGCAACTCAATTAAAGTGCTTTATTCCACTGTTTGTTAGCAGCTCAATTCACCTCAGTCTCCTTCCCTCCTGAAAAAATAACAAAATATAAGCGTCTACATGAAATAAACATATTTCTCATTGTTGCATGTACAGTACATGTATGTTCTGATTCAATGATCAAAGAAGGCTTTTATAGTATAAAGTTAAAAAACCAACAGCCATATTTTAGTGTCATCTTTTACTTTTAGTAACATTAACAAAAAAAATCCATCTAGAATGCTTTGAATTACAAATTGTAGAGAAGCAGAAAGTGCAAAAATCATTGGAAAATTAAGTCCACTTCTATTGCTGTATGCTGTGACATTCATGAAGAAGAGGGATTTCATCAAAAATAACCTTTGAAGTATCAACAATTATATATTATAATATAGGCACACAGTGAAATTTATTATCACTATTTCCTGTTGATTAAAAAGCAAAACATGAATACTCTATTTCATTATATAAGTAACATAGATGGCCTTGTCTTTGTCAGACTAACATCTAGATCAACACGACAACGTGGTCGAACATCTATAATTTTACAAACATGGTCCACAATCAAACACACGTACACCATCAATTCACAACTAAAAAAAATGTGTTACCTGAGCTGCTATCCCTCATCAACGAACGATTGCAGTTGAACTTTCAATTTGCATCCAGTCAAAATCAAATCACAACATTGATTTGGAAAAAACACACTACACAGATCATATTCATAAGGTCACTGACACTGTCTTAGACTTAGCTCGTCTAATTTGTGTTGTCCGACTAGGGTCTAGGCAATACTTACTTAGCACAATGTTTGAAGAGCAGTGAAGTTGAAACTTAAAATTAAAAGATTTTAACATAAACTTCAGACTGACTGGTCCACTCTCAACAAGAAAGAGTTGAATTCTATTTCAAAGTTAGGTGGAGTCAAACGAGGAATGCCATACATGTATGATTCATACTAAACATACACACCCACTAAATAGTAACACCCATTTACGTTCGTTAGTCAACTTGCTTTCACAGACCAACCACTACCACTCACAAAACCGAATGCGGAACCATTTATTGTATGGTTTCGCCGATTACGTGCACACATACGCCCCGGCCCGGAGTGTCGCCGTTACATCGATGAGTGTGTGGTGTGTACGGCATCGCCACTACGCACACATAGTACAACGGCGATCTATGCAAGATCCTCCCGATCAGTGGGCGGTACTCGAGTTAGAAAACGTGTCAAGATTCCGCAGCTAATGTCAGTTTATGAGTGGCCTACTGCCATTTCTCTTTATTTTTCACGGATTCACAACTTTTAAGATGGCCTGTATCTTTCACTTTAAAGTTAAAAAAATGATTCAACAAGTACTTACCGTAGCTAGCATGCAATGGTCAGGTCATTCAGCCGTACGGAAACCAGTCGCGGTATTGGAATTGGTGTCTAATTCATTCAAAATGGCAGTCAATGGGTGTGGTGACGTTATCTGTCAATCAAACTCTTCAATAGGTCTACCCCCTCGCGGAGTTATTGCTCAATTGGGGGTTACTATAATGACTCGAAATGCTACCTGCGATTTGAAACTTGGCCTAGACCATTGTTATAATTCATTTCATTTTGTTTGAAACTTCATCAACTGAGTGAATTTAGAATTAAGGTAAATTCTTCCAATGTACACAAAAAGAGAAAACATTATCTAGGTAAACTGGAATATTTTTCAAATTTCTGTAAAAAAATGTTATGATACAATTAAAGAGACTACTCAACCATGTTTTGTATTATGAAGATGATGATGAAGACAACCAAGATAACGATGACGACTACGATGATGATGATGATGATAATAATAAGATAATGATAATATTAATGTTAACATAATGAGAATGTCATGAAATTTTGATAGTGGAATATTTGAAGGTTTTCAAGTTTCAAGTTTCAAGTTTTTATTGTTCCACATTTTACAAAAAATATAGACATACATATAAAATGAAAAAAATATACAATACATGTAGTATAAATGAGCACGTCTCAATAATTCTCAATCCATAATAGATTGAGTAGAATATGAGGAACCTATTCAAAAGCAGTGCTTGCATATTATAGATTCCTGGAAAAATAAGTATTGTAAAAGAAAAAAACCGTAGCAGTAGACTGAAGGACGTAATTTAAAACACAATGGAATAAGGAAATTGTGTACAAAATAAGGCATTAGCACCAATTACCCCGCTGAAGTTACTATTGTACGAGAAAACAATTACGCCCCCATGAGTTGCTTTTGAAAGCAACAAATCTAAGAAACATGTTTAAATAGGCCTACATTGAGGAAAATCTGATTAAAAAAATGACACAAGAAAGTCTTTTTATTTTAAATCCATCAACAATTTGAATTAGATATGTCTTGTTTAATGGACACATTGAGAATTTGTTCTTAATGTCTTCAGTGTGATTTCTTTCCCTCACCATATATACAACGCTCGCTTTGCTTATTTTGATACAATTTTATTTCACATTCCATAACAAAGTAAATAATTTCCACATTCCTTAATTGCACCGAAAAATCAACAGTTAATATATATATAGACCTACCTACACTGTCGCTCCTAAATTTGGAATATTTTTTTTCTTCCCCAATTCATGAAATTATTTTAAAAATAATTAAAAAATAATAGATCTAGATAATAGTATACATTCTTAGATTTTATTGAATAATAAATTGACAATGTGTGTTTTGCGTAACTGCTAAAGTATGTGTATGCTACTATGCTTATCAACTAGGGGACCTATGCCCTTAAGTCATAAATGACAGTAATGAGGATTAATGCCCCACAAAAGGGCACTAATATAGCACATCGACACGGTTTTGATCCTGGAGCCTCACAGTTACGAGGCCATTGCTTTGTCACTGAACCATGTCTGTACGCAGTGGGGGCTAGGGTAGGGGGCAGTTTCCATAAATATAAAAAAAACACAGAACATGCAAAAAAAAAATCAATAATTTATTGCACTTTACCTCGGTCCCCAACATAAAAAAATCCTCTGTGTGCCAATGCCTTGAGCCATAATGCATGGCCGCTAAGAGGATTTTGATATGTTGGGGACCGAGGTAAAGTGCAATAAATTATTGAAAATTTATTGCATTTTCTGTTTTTTTTTTTATATTTATGGAAACTGCCCCCTGCCCTAGCCCCCCAAAACAAAATGGCCGTTTCAATGTGGTGCCTTTTAAGATTTTGATAAGTCACCCGAGGCATAAGGTGAAGGGAATATTTTATTTTTATCATTAATTCGATGTGTACTTTATGGTACGCCAGATGCATGATTCGGCCGGGGGTGCATGAAGTGAGCATCCTAGACTCTATTCATTAGTTTTAATCCAAATCTCGCCAAACTTTCCCACTCTTTCTTGTTTCTGAGACAAGATTTAATCCATGAAATGCATATGGCCTACATTAAAAACAAGATGAGAAAAACTTATAGGGAACCCTTTTTTTCTGGTGATTAAATTAAATATGAATAGCGAGAGAAGCGACATCACAACTAATGACTGGGTTGTCAATTTGTCTTTGGTCATCGGCCATTTTGTATGTCATAAAAATAATTTTTTATGATACTGTTGGCCTTAATAACGTGTTTGAAATTGCTTGTACGCAAGACAAAGAACAAGATCATCATCTACAACAACAGGGATTTCTGGCTCGGTATAAAAAAGTCAGAGGAAAAAATGTCAAAGGTAAAAATGTTAGAGGTAGAAATGTCAGAGGTAAAAATGTCAGAGGTAGAAATTTCAGAGGTAAAAATTTCAAGGGTAAAAATGTCAGAGGTAGAAATGTCAGAGGAAAAAATGTCAGGGGTAAACATTTCAGAGGAAAAAATGTCAGCGGTAAACATTTCAGAGGAAAAAATGTCAGAGGAAAAAATGTCAGGGGTAAAAATGTCAGAGGTAGAAATGTCAGGAGGAAAAAATGTCAGGGGTAAACATTTCAGAGGAAAAAATGTCAGCGGTAACAATTTCAGAGAAAAAAATGTCAGAGGTAGAAATGTCAGAGGTAAAAATGTCAGAGGTAAACATTTCAGAGGAAAAAATGTCAGAGGTAGAAATGTCAGAGGTAAAAACGCAGCGGTAAACATTTTAGAGGAAAAAATGTCAGAGGTAGAAATGCCAGAGGTAAAAATGTCAGAGGTAAAAATGTCAGAGGTAAACATTTCAGAGGAAAAAATGTCAGAGGTAAAAATGTCAGAGGTACAACAAACAACGAAAAGGTGCCCCTTTTACTTTGACAAGTGCCCCTATAAATTTTTAAAAGTGCCCTTACCCATCTTCACCTCTGATATGTGCCCATTTTATTTTGACACACGCCCTTTTCCTTTCGAAAAGTTCCCATTTTTTTTGGCTATCAGTGTCATTTTTCCATTCTCTTAAGTGCCCTTTCTAATCTCATGTAAGTGCCCCTTTTCAGGTACGAGAAGTTCACTTGTCACGTTTGATAAGTTCCCCCTACACCTCTGATAATTGCCCTATTAAAATCCAAGAGGTACCACTTTTACTTTGACGAGTGCCCCTTTAGTTTGTAAGAAGTGCCCCTTCCCCCTTTTCATTACTACTCCCTTTTTAACTAGGATAAGCGCACCTTGTATTTTCACATGTGCCCCTTTTCCTAATGAAAAGTGCCCCGTTTAAAAAAGAGCCCCTTCCCCTTCTTATAATTACCCTTTTCATCTCTGATAAGTGCCCCGTTTATTTTAACTTGTGCCTCTTTTTCTTTTTAATAAGAGCCACCTCCCCCTATTCATAAAAGCATCCTTTCATCTCTAATAAATGACCCCATTAAAATTTGATTGGTGCGCCATTTCTTTCAACTAATGCACTACGCGCGCTCGCATTTATAGATGATATAATTATGTTATGTATCAAAGATCTTTTCAGTCTTCGTTATGAGAATGTGCTTAAAACCCATCATAATTGTTTTTTCTTCCTCTTTACAGTAAGATGTAATCTTTCGCACTGCGACATCACAAATCTTTAAATTTTTCCTCGCTCGCTTGCAAATGAAGTTTCAGACCATCGCACCCAACTGCAAAGTACTCGAGCAATTATGGTATATAAAGAGAAATGACTATTGAAATCATCACTGATAACGTAAACACAATGCAGGGTATATACCAATATCTAAAAAATTGTATATTTTCGCTTTGAGATTTCCCTTGGTAGGTGCCCTTTTTGTACAGCAAGTGTCCTTTTTTGTTGCCCCCCCCCCACTTTTGAAGTTTCTTCGCCGCCCCTGCATGTACATACATATTTGTTCTTTCCTTCACATTTGAAATACAAAATAAAAGAACACCATCAGATCATAGACAGTAAATTGATGAGCGCCCTCTATAATGAAAATACTTTTTGTTTTCGTTTGGAATATCGACGCTCCGTATGTGGATAGCCCAATGAAAACAACTTTATACCACTAAGAATTCATATTTTTAATCTCTGAATGGAAAATGAAGCGAGGATGCCCTTTACGCAACAGGGGAAGCTTATTTTCTGTACATCGGCAGAAATATGTAAAATAACATGCAATAGGAAGTAACGGAATCATTTTTTAGAGGGGCATTTCATCCAGAAAAGAAATGTCCGATTCTTGTCTTCTCTAAAACTATAGCATTCAAACGATCCATGTATATTAGATGGAGAATCCTGATTAAATTCAAACAAATATAATACTACACGTCGGTATTCCTAGCTATAAACAGCGCATAGCTAGGCTGTAGGCAATCTTAAAATTATGAAAAGACACCCCCCCCCCGCAAAAACAAATAAATGGTGACACGGCCTGTATGATCGATATTCTAAGGCATTCATACATTGAAAGTGCCAAATCAGTTGCCTGACGTATGTAAACTAAGTGGCATCATTATAAAAGAGTGACAGGGATATAAATAGGGCTCTATAATGATGAAGTATGTTTCTTTCATTATTGTTTTTATTTTTTTATTTTTCTCTTTCTTATTGTTGCTATGTGACTTTTGGGGCTGCATAAGGAGCCAGTCAGATTAGTACGCCTTGACAAGAACATCGATGTAAAATAATAATACTAATAATAATGCTGATATTTATAATAACAACAATGATAATAATGATAATGATTATAACAATAATAATGATAAACAAAATACATGCACTGCGAGGCTCTAGTTTAAATTATGGATCGAGGTGGCAGGAATAATATTATTTTCTGAGGGGCGTAAATAGTGCTGTTTCTGTCGCCGAGGAATCCATAATTTCACTAGTGGCTTGAATTAGTACATGATATATTTGTATTATATTTTTCAAACCAACCTTCATAAACAAAAAAACATTGTTTTATTTGATTTGATTTTGATTTATTGGTTTCTGCATCTTTTTTTGCATCATACATTTTCATTAACATAAATATGGTTTGGTACAATATTTTAAGTGTATATAATTTTATACAGATAAAAAACGAAATTAAAGATATAAATTGAATGCATAATTAACATACATTAGATGCAGGAGGGCTACAGAAATAAGCAAATTAGCTTAAAGTACTAATTTTGTCATAAATGTTTGTTTTTATCTGCCACAAAGTTTTTGGCCGTGATGATTATTATCTGTGTTAAGCCATTATGTATGGAAATTATTTCTTTAATTATTTGTATAAAATATATGGATATACTGTATATGATGGAATTTGTTTTGAAAATAGAGAACCCTGTGGATGGGAAAAAAAAATAGCTTGACGTGCTCGCAGCCCTTAACTTAGATACAACAATAAAAAAAAAAAAAAAAAAAAAGAGTGACTTGCAGAGAAGAAAAGAAGGGGAGAGAAGGAGTGTTGGTAATAATACAATAAATCTAAAACATCTGCTGATTGAATGCAGGTCCATTCATGGATGGATAACGATACTAGGTCATGGACTCCATTAGTACCGTTTGCTCCAGCCCCGGAGCAAAATATGGTACTAGTCACCGAGGCCCATATTTATGGCCAGAACCTAGAAAACATTAGAAGAAAAAAAAACGTTTAATAGAATTTATATATATATATATATATATATATATATATACATTAAATTTTGATAAAATTATTTATAGAAATTATACAAAACAAAATATACCCTGCCTTCTTTTCGAGGTAGCCTACAGCATGGTGATAACCATGGGCCTCGGTGAATCCAATTATTTTATAATTTAATTTTTAAAATATTTTTCTATCTTTAGACTATGATCGACTGCATGAGTTATGATGTTCCGATCCGGTGCCGATCAGTATAGTCTCAGTCTCTAACGGAATATTCCAACTACATCCTGGTCTCCAATCAAAATAGCCTATAATAGGCCTGCAAACGCGCACATTGTTTACCAAGGCATGAACCTACCAACCGCGGACACACCACACGACACGCACGCACTGCTATATAAAGAGAGAGTTTACCTGTACATTATACAAAGAAGCGGATTATCAAACAGATAAAACTGCATGAGGCCCAGCGGGTGCCAGGTACCATCATTCAGAGTGCTAAATAAGGTGTACTTACCAACCAGTGTGCTTTGAGGATTTGATTCAGACATGTTCCTACCTCGAACATCAAAAGCAAGGTAGATATACCTTTTTGAAGACTGTTAATTCGATATCTTTAATATGAAGCTATAATAATAATAATTCAAATAATAACAATGATACGATAGAGGGTACTCGTAAAGCGCTCATGTCTGTCAGACTTCACACTCTTGGGGCTCTACAAAATTATCCCGCCTTATCCTTTTTTTTTTATTCTTGTTCCTATTGATAATTTATTATAGACCCTAAAAGTGATTTGTTAATTTGTATGTCATCTTGTATGGTAATATCTTATTTTGTATATCATCTTATTTTGTATATCATCTCGCTATGTAATATCTTATTTTGTATATCATCTCGCTATGTAATATATTATTTTGTAAATCAGCTCGCTATGTAATATATTATTTTGTATATCATCTCGCTATGTAATATATTATTTTGTATATCATCTCGCTATGTAATATCTTATTTTGTATATCATCTCGCTATGTAATATCTTATTTTGTAACGGGGTAATGTCTTAGTTTTGTAACGGGGTAATATCTTATTTTGTAAATCATCTTACTATGTAATATTTTATTTTGTTTTGGAATAGTTACCATAAGACAGTCCATTAATACCTAAAATTCAAGAACTCAAAGAAATTGTGCTTGATTGGAAGTAGGAATAAGACAATTTTTGTCCTTCTCGATCAGCGATATTAATTACCATTTCAAATGAAATATGTTGCAATGAATGTTTCCCTTTTCAGTATTGATTTAGAATATAGCTTGAATTCAAATTTGCCACAATATACTTTTGCATATAGGTCTGTTAATAATATTGGAATTGGAAGATGTACATTGTTTTCTGACAATCGGTACATTAAAATGTTATCTGAAGCATTATCGAGAATAATGATAGAATTTCTTCACCTTATCTCACGACTTGCACTATATAATTGATAAAGATTTTATAATATTATTGTCAACTGTATTCATGAAGACAATTTAATACGGAATTGATTTCTTGCAATTTTAATTGTGGTGTTTAACACAGCGGGTCGGCGTGGAGGGGGGGGGGGGGTAGGAAGGGAGTATGGGAAGGGAATGACATTCACGAGGTATCCATCTTAGCTATTTGATTATCAATATTAGTAGCCTAATGTGATTAAGAATATTTTATGTTTCAAAATTAGATTCAAATATTGTGAATGAAAATACCAAACAAATTATTTCGAATATGGCATTTTCGATATTGGACTTTAAGATGGGTTTAGGACACTGGCAATAAGCCAGTTCACGGTTGCTGTCTGAGCATGAGCAGATAAAGGTCATTGCAGAACAAATTTTGAAATACACAGAGACGAAATACTGGATACGTGCTCATGAAAGTTATGTAACATTATTCATTCATGCACATTCAGTGCACTCCATTGTACACAGGTGGATGTATTCTTTGAAAAGGGGGAACAAAGGCTATTTATAAAGCACCTCCATCGCTGTAGGAGTGATTATTTCAAAATGTACAAAGTGGGACCTCTTCATGTGTTGAAGATCTGTGGATATTCGGGGTCATTGCAGTAAGGTGCTAACCGTGAACTGGTCTATTAACCAGAGGTGCTCAGCGGGCTTAATTGCGGTTTCAATGGCATAATATTATATCAGAAAACAGTTGAACAGTTTTGCTAGTTTTATATATATATATATATATATAGTGTTTGTGTATAATAGATAAACACTTAAATCTGTACTCGATCAGCTGGTAAGGACCCATGGTACAATGATCCTTATCACAATTTGATGTTGGGTAAACTCTGTTAGTTCCGGTTATACCCTGATCGACACGTCAATTTCCTTGGGTCACTCTTTCCGATTCGAAAGGCGAAAGTTGCTCGGATACGATAAGCATAATACCACTGTCTTCGCATAATACTAATGGCAATGAACGAATATTCTCAGATTTTAACAGGGATTGTAATTAAGAAAAATAATCCGTTATCTTTTTAAGAGTGGAATGTATAGACTATATCGAAACTATTACTATCCCAAGGGAAAAATGGTCCTGTCTATATCATTATTATGGAGATAAAACGAATGTTATCAAGATATAAGATGTAAGCCTATACATGACCTGTTTGATGATAAGGGAAAACCTCTGACTTGTGAGCAATACGAACAATTCTGCTGGAAACTAAATTATTTGTCTTATTATTCTGTAACTCAAGCTATAAAGTGTCGATATCGAATGCATATTGAAAAATGTGAACAAATGTAGTAGGTCCTTTAATGTCGTCACTTATCAAAATACTAATACATGACATAAAAGGTTGTCAATATACTTACAAAAATTTTCTTGAAAAAAACAAGTTGTATACCCTCAATATATCTGAAATGGGAACGATATTTAGATTTAACCCCTGAATGTCAAAGAATGCGGAAATATCATAGGATGATATATCGTTTTACTCCAGATATTGGTTTAAGATATTTTCAGTACAAGATAGTAAATAGGATTCTGTATTTGAACAAGCAACTGAACATAGTGAGTAATGATAAAAGTATGTTCATTTTGTAAAAAAGAGCTGGAAGATATTGTACATTTCTTTTATAATTGTGAAATCAGTAAATCAATCTGGAATGAAACGCTGAAATGGATAAAAATTAATGAAGGTTCTCGAGTGCAGATAATTTTTGGTTTTGAAGACAAAAGAAACGATGTTTAAATTACATGGTTACTTTGATTAAGTATCGACTATTCATACACAAACTTAATAACAAAATTCAAAATTTTAGTTATTTGAAGAAGAAAATTATTCAATATTATGAAGACGACAGATATATTCATTCTATATCTGGTATGTATAACAATTTTAAAAACTAAATGACAGTCACTTCAACATTTTGTTTGTTTGAACAACAAGGAGAGAAATGTGAAAATATTTTGTTTTATTTGACTTAAATAAAGACTTCCTTTCATTTCATTGTAAAATGTTTTGTTTGACTCAATAACGTAGCCTATGAAGGACTAAAAACATAGGAGGGAGGGGGGGGGGGGGGTTACACTAAGCAACTTTCTTATTTTAATATTTAAATGTTTGGATTATAAACCATGTACATTGTCACGTGAATCTTCACACAGAATATTACTTTCCATTATGATGGAGGGGGGGGGGGGGGAGTAAGGATTAAAATTCATTTTCAACACTTTTTCAGGTTGTTGCCAGCGACACTAAACAAAATTCATGAGAGGCTCGGCATACGTGACATGCTCAGTGAGGCTACATTTCTCAGTAAGAAGACACTGAAGAAGGGGGAGGGGCAGGATACGACATCCATAAAATCGTCTTTAAAATTGCATGTGTCTCACTTTGCTCCCTACTTGAGAGGAAATATGAATTGAACACAAGAAATAGGTATATTGGATTTAACATAACATCGAATAAACCTTGAATTAATTGTAGTCCTGATTATCTTGTAACTTTTTTTCTTCTTCGCAGTGTGTCTTTATACGTGTCACTAGGTGTAACACAGAACGCAAGTCAAGATGACATAAAAAGTGCATATAAGTTGGTAAGTAATCCTCGCTTAAACATCTTAAAAAAAACCCCAATTAAACATTCATTTACTATTCAAATTCAAACGCAAGCCAAGTTGACATACAAAGAGCATTATAAGTTGGTCAGTTATCCTGGCTAAAAAATTAAAAATGTTATCAAACAACCATAATGTTCATTGTCTTTAAAATTAATTTTTATTTTAGTATGTTTCCTCTGGAATTTTAATTGCAAACCAAAATTACAGAAAAATTCAACAATATATTGATAAATAATTATTCTTATTTCTGTTGTATACCGATTGAAATTAGGATGCCTCGATCACGGAACACAATGAGGATTTTGATGCGTGCACTAATTTCGCAAATCGCGATGACATCACGAATTAATACAGATTTATGCGGATTTTGTTTAGTAGGGGTCTAGGTGAAAAATTCCCGAAAAATGAACAAAGGTCTCTACAAAGGGATGAGAAGAAGCCGCGAATTGGTGAAAAGCGGAAATAATTGGCTTTAACCGTTTTGCCTGAGGATGTTACTACATTCGAAGAATTTCGTCCCGGATTTAATTGAATATGCAAATAATTATGTCTTATAAGGTAAATTTGCGAGCTGCAAAATGAGTCAGTCAAGTAGATGAAGTTTGTTTTATATTTTGTATTCTTCATCACGGGCATGTAAACATAAAATAGTACTTATATTCGGAAGACACTTGACGTGCTCGAAGCAAACATTGAATAGCAAACTTTGAGCTAAACATGCCACCATAATTTATTTACTTTGTACCCATTCACTTTATTGAATAATCAAGATGTGAGTACAAATCCTCTGAAGAAAGAAAGATAGAATAACATAGAACAAAAAGAAAGATAGAGAGAGAGAGAGAGAGAGAGAGAGAGAGGGGGGGGGGGGGGGGGAGAGAGAGAGAGACGGGGTGTGAGAGAGAGAGAGAGAGAGAGAGAGGTATATCCCGCATAGAACATTTTGACGATTTCCGCATACTGCACTTTACATCCTACCGAAATGTACAGGAAATATTATAGATTAATCTCGATTAGTCTCGATGTCTTTAAGCAAACTTTGAGCGAATTAACATGCCAGCGTAATAATATTTTATACCCCAATATAATTACTACAATGCTATATATAGGTCTACAACGAGATTTTAAATATATATATATATTTTTTATATTTGAGGGAGTGGGGAATCCCAGATGTATCCCTTTTATGCCTAACTCATCGTACTGATATTATCCTTTATTTGCAAATTAAAACTATTGTAAAAAAGTATGGAAGTGGAACAATAATTAATGAAAACATAAGTAATGTATTTATGTGGTTGTTTTGATATCATTTGCTTAATATAGGACGAATAAATTAGTCATGTTGAATAGAAACCGACTTTCTACCTAAAATGTTTAGAAAGCAATCAATAAACCATGACTATTTTAAGCATTGATTAGGGCAAAATTGCTGGTAAATAGCAGCCAATAAATCGTATAATGTTTAGAAATAGAATCCTATAATAAACTTGATTTTCTTCTTACAGCTTCACATCAAGTACACAAAGACAGGAGCAAAGCGAAAGGTATGTACAGTTCTGGTTTTAACACCATTTTTGTAATCTAATCAAATGAATAAATGCACATAGCCTATAGGTCTTTTTAAAGTTCCTCGTTACAAATTAACTCCCTTTACCTGTCAATACTAATTGTATTTTAATAGTCAGAATTGCATACTTTACGTGTTGCTTGTCCTAGCTACCATATAGGGAGAGTCTGGTCCTACCAAGCAATACGTAATGTATGCAGTTCGCATTCTGACTATTGAAATACAATTATTCGCAACTAGTGAATGAAATAGTTTGTAACGAAAAACTTGAAAAAGTTTTGTGCATAGAATTTGATTACATTACGCAGATGGTATATAGCCTATATTATATTTCATCAGATCAAGCAGACGAATGATATGAAATACATACTTCTTTATTTCGTAACCATTTACTGAATGATCAAGATGTGAAAAAAGATCCTCTGATCTTTCTCAGTCACAAAGGTAAAAAGGACAGAAAGACCGAAAGAAAGAAATGAATAAATACAAAAAGAAAGAAAGAAAGAGAGAGAGAGAGAGTATGAGAGAGAGAGAGAGAGAGAGAGAGGGGAGAGAGAGAAGTATCACAGAACATTTTGACGATTTCCGCATAAAGGGTCTACGTGCTTACAAGTATCCCATTTTACGTGCCGAAATGAAAGTACGATTTGATATTAGATTAATAATTAATATCAATACCACTGCTTTACAGTTTCATACCATTAATAATTTAGACAAACAAATTTTATAACATGATAAATATTTATTGTTTAACCTCCCAATTTTGGAGTACTTGCCAAATGAAGCCGTATATTGCGAAATAGATGTGTGGCAATCAACCAGAGAAGAATATTTTCTGCTCTTTTTGTGTCAATACAATTATTCGCTTGGGTTTACCCCCATCTTTTTTTTTAGGACCGATTACCAAAATCCATTCATGTCAAATGAATGGAATATAATTATGATGTGCAGTGATGCTTGGTGTACTCTGTAACCTCAGACCCCCTCAGACTGGTTAATCCCAACTATTATTATTCATGAATGGACGTAATTCAGTTGTAATTCTTTTTTATCTTTTCTTTAGAATCACAAATGAGATTGCTCAATAATTATGTAGAAGTTAGAATGAATATTATAAAGGGGGTTTCCCTGCAATATGTCTATTACGTCATGTGTCATGTGAAATGTTATCCATGACCATTGCCTACTTATGGTTCTATCTTGTATATCAAGATTCTTTAAATTTCTGGATGACAAAATGAAAAACGATTATTAAGTCGTTCTGCATTATTACACGGGAGTTATGCACATCTATATAATGGCGATAGTATAACCAGGATTCTGGTCAAAATGACCACCTATAGATTCGTTATTTCGATCAAGATTTGGAAAATAAACAGTCAATTAGAACCGTTAAATTAAGCAAATTCAATTGGTCTTCTGGACAAGATCCTGGTCCCAACGGCACTGGTCGGGAACTAAGAATTGACCGATGAATTCCACAGGGGAATTGTTTCGTTTTAGCAATAAATAAAAACCTCTTTGTGGTGCCACTTTTAACCCGGAACTGACACACTGTTATTTTGCACATCAGAATACAGTGATCCATGTTTCCGACTTTAAAGGCACACTGCCATACTTGTAGCTACTTGCTCCCTCTATATAGAAACTTCCCCAATCGGTGCCTGTTGGTCCCCCATGATCCTCTTTTTCTTATGTTAAATGAGAGCTGAGTTAATGAGATAGCCACCTGTCACAGTGACCTCGATGGCTCTCTGTGTGGTCTAATCCCTTCTGGCCCAGTAGTGGTGACGGTTTTTAAATAGAATCTTCATCAGTAGGCGCATTTATACTGTCAAATACCTCATTTTGAAAAGTCGCGATGTTTCGTGCACCCGGTTACACTTGTGCTGAAACATCACCGACGGAGCTGTTCAGCGATGTTTTGGCGTGTTTCGGTTGGTAATGCGCATGTGCAGTCTTCCCGACCTTTGACCCCGGCCTGCTATAAGATTTTTAGCGCGCGCAATTTCCAGCTAGCGCTATAGCTAGCTAAATAGCGATACATCCCATGCGCATGCATGCGATATGTTTTGTTTATCTCGCGTGTAGTATTTGAGGCAAGAGTGGATAAGTTACGAAGTACGGACTACGGCTGCTGATTCAGTTTTCCCAAATTCAATCGAAATCTAGTAGTAAAAACGATATGGGAAGGTTAAGAAAATCATCGTTGTTAATTGGAATTATGAGAATTCGCCGACGTCGTAGGGAAAGTGATCGTCGTGCTCGTTTTTTTAGGTACTTTATGAGGCGACAGCAAGAGCTCACCAACCTCATTTTGACCGCTTGGAAGTCTGGTGGAGGAGCTCTCCCTGCCTCCACATCGAAATCAAGAACTTCATCTCATCATCAGTCCAATGGGAATTGTTCACTTCCATATTAATTAATCTAACAAAACACTCAAATACTACTACTAGACAGATAGGGCCAGACGGGAATAACGAAGATTGAATAAAGGATGAGTTAACGGAATTGGAACAAACGGAGCTGAATGAACGGATAACACGCGCGACGATGGAAATGCTATAAATATCACACGGGAAGAACGTGGTTTAAAAGAGCGCGGGTAACAATCCGGAAGTGCCGGAAGTCATGTGCCTAACATCGCGATGTTACAACTGCGAGCGGTTATACTTGCCAAACACGCCAAAACACGCCAAAACACGCCAAAAGATCACACTTCGTTTTGGAATGTTTGGGGCTTGGCATGTCTGCCGGTAAAGCGTAGTTGCCCTTGGTAACATCGCGGCCAGGCTCCGGTTTGGCATTTTTTGGCGTGTTTGGATGACAGTGTAACTGCCCCTAGTTTGTGTAGAATGCTGCTTTGTGTAATTCTGTAAATATTCTGTTTTCATTCTGTTATTGTTTTATTTGATTTTTGATCAATAAATACTTAGAGAGAGAAAAAAGATCTTCATCAAAGGTTAGTTTAAATTGAACTGGTTATATTGTTCAAAATATCGCACCGTATCGTATATACCATGGAGTAATCTTGATATCTTTTAGCGCTTACAGACTTCGGTGGAAAGCGCTTTATAAGTAACGTTTTTATTATTATTATAATTATTATTATCTTTTTTTTTCTGTTTTAGTTGAAGGAAGTTGAGAAGGCTTATAGCATTCTTGGTGATCCATCTAAGCGAGCGATGTATGATAAACATGGATCGGTGAAATGGTGGGCGAAGATACAAAAACCATTCTCACCTGAAGCTATGGACAAACAAGGTCCCGTCATGAAGGTAATTCATTCATAATTAAGAAATTATTTAATTCATTTTCATTTTCTTCCGTCATTTCTTCATTTGACAAATTTCTATTCATTTTCTTTTTCTTTTTTCATTTATTCATTTGACAAATGTACGTTTGACATGAATATTGTTTGACTCACATAATAAATGAACAATAAATCTTTGTGACTCAGATATTCCAATGAGCAGAAATAGAATTAGAAATAGAATAGAAATAGAATTGTCGTTCTTGTTGTTGGTTGTATTTTTGGCGATCCGTCGAATTTGGCTATTTACGCTTAGTCTTTTTTCAGTCGAGGTATAGTTGACAAGAAGTCTGTTGATGGCAGAATAACACATCCTACATAATGTTGAATTTGGTTATGGCTTGTTTCATTTCCATTAGCCAAGTACTTATTCCTATTTATATATCGATTAAATGACGAAGTCTCTACCATTATAGACCTCATAATGCATGCACATTATTATATATAGCAAATGCAGCTATTAAACTGCATTTAAGTACATGTTGTATATCAAAATAACTCTGATGAACGAGAAAGAAAGTAATCAATGACAATTATTATGTGCAAATCATAATGGACTTATTCATAATTTCCCTTTATCTCCGTTTCGGTCTTACCTTTTTTTTCTTCTCAAATGAATCGCGATTCATTTTCAGGATATAAGCCTATATATAATTATGAAACAGGGCATGCATTTATCGTATGTAAGGTGTTGATTAAATTTTATGAGCACCATGCATTCTAGCTCTCATAAGAACAGGTACTGCCATGTCTATGTCGTTGCTTTACTGTCTCTAATTCCCCAGTTAAAGATGTCAAAGTATTTCCTCTTATTTGCACTGTCTGTCTCCCTTTCACTCTCTTTATTGACTTTTATTCCTTGGATGTATTCTTCTTTATCTCCTTCGTACGATTCTATTCTTATTCCAATCCTTCTCTTTCTCTGGCTCCATTCAAGCATGATCACTCTCTTCTCCTCTTAAACCATTTATACGATTTCTCTTTTATACCATGCACTCCCCTCATATATCATTGCGCTGTCCACATCATGCAATCAGTTACTTTCTCTTTTTGTAGTTTCTAAAATGGGCCTAATCCCACAGCCAATCGCACACTCTATGCTATCTAACTATATGATCCGATTTTGAAAGAATTTGCAATAGCATTCAATATGGACATTCAGATTTCTCAATGATCTGAATAGTCATACAATAAATGAAATTAAAATGTCTATTGATTTCACGCTTCCGTGGAGGAAAAAAAGCTAAATCGGATCAGAATCTGAGTGAAGCCATACCAGTAGACAAGTGCAATTTCTACGATTTATACGATTTGAGGCCGTGTCGGCTTTTATGCTGACCAAAAGAATTAAATGCCCTAAAATTCATGTTATTAGTATTTTAATGATTATTCGGAACCTAAATCATGAAGATCATATTTGATCAGGTTTTCTTATCTAATATACTTGCAAGTTCTTCGAAAACCGGATCGCAGGAACATCGTATAGTTTGCGGTGGGCTTACGAATTGGCGCATTTGGCGCGTTTCTAAATAACTATAGCTGAATCACTTTTATTTAGACGTTATTATCACAAGTTCTCTAAAAACGTTACAGTGATTACGCTTGTGGGACTGGCCAATCAAATTGTAACAAAATAATAATTCATTGCTTAATATACTTTTGTCATACAAACGAATAGGTCACTGGACATAACGAGTGGAGGGGAATTCCCCTTCCTCTGTTCTACTTTAAAACAAAAATTATGTCTCTCTCAGCGACCGCGACATTCCTGCCACTTCATTGTTGTGCTCTGCGTTATCCTCTTATGCTTTCGATTTACCTTTTCTCACAATTTCTCTGTCTATATCCAACTATATTGATTGCTCCCCTCTCTATTACAATGTCAGATAAAGTTGAGTTCCGGTCCTGCGATTGCATTGTGAAAGAAACGGTGCGGAATTTGAACAGAAAAAAGTTGATCATGTAGCATTATATACTAGTATTGGTACTGCAAGGTTCTGGAATCATCAAAATGATAAGAATTTTGGCCCAGTCTTGGTGAAAATATCAAGCACTGTACACAGAAAGATGAACTATGGGACTACACAAAAATGTGGCATGATGCATGGTCTTCATTTTAAGCTGTTACTTGTCATATTTATAATAATAACGAAGGCATTTGAAGAGCCATGCTTTTCCGGGAACCTTTTTCTCTGATGTTCTTCCACACATGCATAATAACAATGACAGCGCTCACAAATTATTTTTCACCTGTCCCTAGAACTCAACCTTCTCTTTAAGTCAATGGTATAGACTTTCATCCTCTTTCCTATCATGTTTATCACATATTTTCGCTACTTTTAGGTGAATATTTCCTTCTAATCTGCTTTTATTCTTATAATCCTTTTAATCCACCAGACGTTATATTATCAGACGTCCTTCAAAAGTCATGCCACACGATTTGCTTGTGAGAGTAGACATAATAGGCCCGAATTCACGAAGGAGGTTTGTCGACAAACCTTGGTCTGAAACCGTCGAAACGCGTCATAATTATGACGCCGCAATAAACCTAGGTTTGTCGACAAACCTCCTTTGTGAATTCGGGCCGTTAAGTCTGATTCATTGTTAAATAATTACCAACAAATAGATCCCTCTGCATGCCGAGGGGAGCCGGGGACCCCCATTTTCTTCATTTCTTTTCACTCTTTGAGTTTACGACTTCTGAATTCCTTTCGCCTAGCTTTTGTTTCTATTGTATCCTCTTTTCTCTCCCTGACTCACCTTCGATTCTCCCTTGCTTGCACCCCTATTTATCCGTCTATCTATACAATTGATTTTTTTTTCTCCGTTCTTACAGGGTAATTCTTCGCCTTTTGCCATTGCATTTCTCCTTCTTGCGAAATCTCTCATACCACTTCCCTCTCTTGTTATTTTCTCATTCCCTTCAAACATATTTCCCATTCCAAAAACGTTTAAAAATATCTTCCTCTTTTTTTGTTTGTTACTTATCACCCAGTTTATGAATACAATTAGAATGAGTGTGACACCCGAAATATGTTTAGATACGTCGTCATACTTCATAAAATAGGGACTTTTAGATTCGCATGAAGACAATAGGTCTATGCTACGATCGACGTCCTTTTAATGCACTGCCTTGAATAGACGTCACACGTATCAGTCCACGCAAATCTAAAAGTCCCTAATAGCTGATGTTGAGTTCTGATCATGTGGTTTCATTGTGAAAGAAACTATATGGAATTATTTGGGAAAGGTTGATTTTGTATGATTATTATACTGTGATGTTTTTGAATCATCAAAATGCATAAGAAATTAATTGTACTGGCTGAAATCACTTTCACTGCACACAGAAATGAGTCTAAGGGACGTAGTAGTTTGGTTTCCACTTTTGAGCGATTTCTTTAAGGGCATTTAAAGAGACAGTATCCTTTAATTTCAGCACACATATTTTGTTTACTGTGGACATACAAAAGAATAAGATAGCTTGCAACCATTTACTCAACCTTCTCTTTACTTAAAAGTACTACAATAATTAGTGCTGTCATAAACAAGTTAAACTGCTCCATGAATACATTCAGTTGATAAATATATCCTTCAAAGCAACTAAACGTTTTCAACCACTTTCCCAATCCTACAGGGTCTATTGACATTCTGTTTCACTACGACTTGTTGTTGTTTCTGCTACTGCTGCCATCACTGTTGTGGCACATGCCAATCTCCTACATGCGACCACGACGACGATGAGATCTACATCAGGACGAATTTTCCAGAGTACCTCACGCAAGGCTCGACCTCATCTACTTTCTTCCGAAGACGTCAACATAAGGAAATAAAGCAAGCCGCGAGGAGGAGAAGACGAGATAATCTGTTCGCGAAGAGGGGTCAGCAGAAGTCGGAAGATAACAGTGAACAAGACGAACAAGAATGCGAGGTAAAAGGTGACGACGCGAATGAGAAGACAGACGGTAACGACAATCCGATCAAGAGAACAAATAGGTCACTTATTAGTAAGGACAGTGGGTATGATCTCGGAGTAGATAACAATGGATATGTCAATGATCTGGATGGTGTAAGTATTAATGATAGTGAGGGTTTCGGTGAAGAAATCGAATTAGATCAAGCTTCGATTGAGGTACACGAGATAGAGAATCAAGGCAACTCAGTCGACCAAGGGAATTCTCCTAGTTCGGATACTTCGAATGATCTCAAGGAGAGTAACCTAGATGAGATAGAGAATCAAGAAAACTCAGAGCAAGAGAATTCTTCTAGCTCAGAAACTTCGAATGATCTCACGGAGAGTAACGTAGATGAGATAGAGAATCAAGAAAACTCAGACCAAGAGAATTCTCCTAGTCCTAGCTCAGATATTTCGAATGATGTCAAGGATTGTAGCTTAGATTGTTTATGAAATAAGATCAGTTTAGAATGTTCCAAAAATAAGATCAATTTAGAATGTTCATGAAATAAGATCAATTCAGAATGTTCATGAAATAAAATCAGTTCAGAATGTTCATGAAATAAGATCAGTTCAGAATGTTCATGAAATAAGTTCAATTCAGAATATTCATGAAATAAGATCAATTCAGAATGTTCATGAAATAAGATCAATTTAGAATGTTCATGAAATAAGATAAGTTCAGAATGTTCATGAAATAAGATCAATTTAGAATGTTCATGAAATAAGATCAGTTCAGAATGTTCATGAAATAAAATCAGTTCAGAATGTTCATGAAATAAGATCAGTTCAGAATGTTCATGAAATAAAATCAATTCAGAATGTTCATGAGATAAGATCAACTCAGAATGTTCATGAGATAAGATCAACTCAGAATGTTCATGAAATAAAATCAATTCAGAATGTTCATGAGATAAGATCAATTCAGAATGTTCATGAGATAAGATCAACTCAGAATGTTCATGAAATAAAATCAATTCAGAATGTTCATGAGATAAGATCAACTCAGAATGTTCATGAAATAAGATCAATTCAGAATGTTCATGAAATAAGATCAATTTAGAATGTTCATGAAATAAGATCAACTCAGAATGTTCATGAAATAAGATCAATTCAGAATATTCATGAAATAAGATCAGTTCAGAATGTTCATGAAATAAGATCAATACAGAATGTTCATGAGATAAGATCAGTTCAGAATGTTCATGAAATAAGATAAGTTCAGAATGTTCATAAAACAACATCAGTTCAGAATTTGATGTGGAGGTGTCGTGGTCCAGTGGTTCATTCACTTGACCCTCAATCCAAGGGTTGACGGTTCGAATCTCAGCCCGACACTAACGTTCTTTGGCAAAACATTAATCCGCATTTGCCACTCTCCACCCAGGTGTAAATGGGTACTTGTCATTCACTGGGTAATAATAATTGCAAGAACGGAGAACATCGTTGAAGCTGATGAGGCTTCCCTGCGTAAACAAAATTATTATTATTATTAAATCAAGAATGTGTGTGCATGTTGTTGAAGGTAAAGTCTAGATGCATGAATGTTTTGACCACATATTTGATTAAGACCACCATTTTCAGGTCATAGTCTGTAAGTTTTGTAGATCAACTTTTATCTCCCTCCAAGAGGCAAGAAAGTGTCCAAGTGTACTAGGACTTTTCTTCACTGTCACGAACAAATGTCGTATACCATCATGTTTTGTAGTATTCATTTGCGAATGTATGTAATCATTAACATCACCCAAAGTCAATATTCATGTATATCTATAATATAGATCCAGGTGGTTGATTACTGATAGTTTCAATAGCTTTCCATTTAGTAAACAAGTTTAATGACTAACGAATATCCTAGTATTACTGATATGAATAGAAGTGCAATCATCTTATTGTTGTACATATATTTTTGTTGGTGTCGATTCAGACAGACTTTTACTTATATCATTCATAAGCAAAGCGGTGGAATGTGAAAGCTAGTCTTAATACATGGAGATAAAACAAGCGACAGTTTGATTTTGTATGATTATTATATGTATAATGTGGTGCAAGTAACTATAAGGGTCCATTTATACATTTTGTGTTGCATCTCAAATGCTCATCTGACGCGTCAGTGTCTGGCATTCATTAAATGATTGTCATTAATTGCGGTCGATTCACTTTTTTGGTAATTTTTTTCTAGTTGTTTATGGGTTCTCAATCTCACTTCTTACTTGAATATGCTATGTTTATTATGTCTTATACTATTTATGTATGCCTTTCTGTTTTTATATAATCTACTATGCGAGTGAACTTTCTAAATGTCACAATACAAGTTCTAAAGGGAAATTAAAGGAATGTTTTCAAATGTTTCTTGAAATGTTTGGAAATTACGGAAAATTCAATATTTATTGTATCAATATTCTAATGAATGAATTAAATCAAAGTTCTAAAGAAGGAAAATGATGGGAAATACAATATTCCAATCAGTATATTGTATCAATATTCGAATGATAAGCAAAGTTCTCTAAAGTGGAAATAATTTAGTGAAAATTTAGGATAAATGTGAAAAGAATAAGGAATTTACGCCATTGGATGGGCTGATGCCCATATTGGCCCGAATTCACAAAGGAGGTTTGTCGATAAACCTAGGTTTATGTGCATCATATGACGCGTTCCAACGCGTTTTTACCGACCAAGGTTTGTAAAGACGCGTCATATGTCGCACATAAACCTAGGTTTGTCGACAAACCTCCTTTGTGAATTCGGGCCATTGAGTTTGAAACGCAATTCTGGTCAAGAAAGGTAAAAGAATCCAACCGCATAAAAAGCGATCAATCATTTACTGAATGGCGACTCTGGCACTTCATTGTCACCTATCTTCGCTCTACTGATCACGAGCCAGTAAACAGCAAGGAATTGCGTGAATAATCAAAACTCCACAGGAGTGGACGAAAGCAAGCCTACTAAATGTTAAGGTTGGGAGAAGCTTAAACTACGTGTTATTTTTTTGTTTGTGAATTACAAAGTAATCTCCTGTAAAGTGCGATGCTATAACCACAGAATCTATTCATCTTTTTTGTTTGTGAATTACAATGTAATCTCCTATACAGTGCTATAACCACAGAAACTATTTCTCTTTTCTCTTTAAAAGAGACAATTTGAGTATTTATCTTTGTTGTATGTTACTAATTTATCTATTTCCTCTACAGTGTATTTGCTAAAGATGTATAATGAAGAGATTAATAAAGATATATATGCTTAAATCAATGAACTGGAATCTTGTGAATATGATACACAAAACACATAAAATAACTGCAAGTTGATCAATATCATAAGTTTCATCTTCTGATTTATTCATAATCGTATCTAATGAAAGAGCAAGCATTACGAACACTATCTCAAATTGAAATGATTTAAATCTCTTGTTACTATAGGCTTTCGTAACAGTCATTCACTTCTCATAAGCAATGAGTTAAGTATTCTTTTGACTGCACACTTTTCTGTTCGGACTACTGCTCAAAATGATTTTGATCACTGAATGATATCATGGGACCTCTATCCCATTTACAAAACAAAATAATAAAAAACAACCGTCCGTACAGGCCATATATATCAAAGTCTGAAACATAGTGGTACATTGCTATACATATTATCTTGTACCCAACAATAATCCTTGAAACAAATTATTTCAGTGATCCTTGATCTCATTAACATATATATTATAAATTCAAATATTTCCTTAAAAAATTCAAATGTTTTTATTTGTTTACTGGAGACACAATGTTCAGTACGACTATCACGGTGTCTATAAATCTTGTATGTTTTATGAGCTTATATTTGCCTACGACATACTCCAAAGTGTTATGGATGGCAAGATGAACAAAAGCAAAGAATGAATGAAATGTTAAAAATGAGAGGGCATTTGTGGATAATTAATATCTTTTGTGTAAACTTTCCTTCAAACTGCGATCCCTTTGCATGAAAATAGTAATTTAGGACTTGATTATTAAGCATAGATTTATGCACCACTCAACCACTCTCATTTTCACATAATAATATATTATACGAATAATACACAGGTGTGAGTGCGTTATGGTCGATGCAGCTTACAAGGGTATTCACTATGGTGCAATAAAATTCATGAGGCGTAGCCGAGTGTATTTGTGCCATTGTGAATACCCTCATGCGCTGCGTCGACCATAACATCACAAACAAAAACCTGTGTAATATTTATTTTTTTATAAAATGTGTTGGCAATCTTACTTAACGAGGCGATAACACTGTAAACCTGCAACCTTCATAAGAAATAACGTGTGCACACAGACGATCCCGGCAGCAGTGGCCTAGAAAACAGAACTGTGCCATGTATGGTGGGACTTCTCGTAAACATGCATTGAATTACACGCAGCATGCATAATGCATTTTTGTTGCATATTTGTTGCATATGGTAAAAAATAATGCATGGTAACATGATCCATTTTGACGCTTCTCATTGGCTACATTCTTGAACCCATTTTATACAAATTTATAAAGCACTGACATCTGAAACTTTCAATCAAGGCACACAAGAATGAATATGCAAGTTACATTTTAATAAATAGCTCATAAGATAATCTACAGGTAGAGAAAGTCACATTTTAACTATACAGATACATTTTCAACTGTGTTTTGAATTGAAAATGTCTAAAATGGTACTTTTAAAAGTACAGCTATTCGGTGAGTGAGATGGAAGCAACAAAAAGAGAATGGACTGATATGAGACACATGATTTGTAGAGTCAAACCTGTATGTAAAGATTCTTGAAGAGAGACAAGAAATGTGGTCTTTAGAAGTAGGTGGTCTTTCTATCCAGGTGGTCACTAAAGCAGGTTGGACTCTACTTCATGCTAAAGAAAAAAGCTGCAACAGGTGTCGATCCATTCTAGAGAGTTGGAACAAAATCAATCACACCTTCTTCTTTTGGTATGAAATATATGTAAAGTGAGATTCACAAGACAGTCTATTAACTTCAAGTTTAAGTCATGGTTTTCAGCTTCAAAGTCATCTTGTAGTTGAGGATTGTGCAGAACGGTCGACTTTAAGTTGGACTTAACTATGGCAGGCCATTCATGCCACCGTTTGCTCTCACCATTGGTCTCTCAATAAAAATCTTTAGATAATATTTTTTTCCTCTAATAATGAACTATCAAAAAATGTAAATTCTGTAGATATGTGACCATGATTTGTATGTCCCTTGTAATTGAGTAATTAAGTCCATCTTAAAGTCAATCTTAGTCTTTGTGAAACACTCTAATGGTTACAAAACTTTATGCTCACTTGAAAGTTCCAAACCATAACAGATCTTAAGGTTAGAGCAATAACTACGTCCAGCAGAAGGTCTAGGGCTCTCACTTTAAGTTTTATGCGGTGTGAATGCAATCAACTTCAAGGTTACATCAGCTTAAAGTAATAAAATTAATCCTTTCCGCCGTTGGGAGATGTGAGTTGGTCTAGCGGCACGTTCACTTGGTCCGCTCTCTGTCTTCGCCTACATACTGGCTCAGGCGACCCAATTCGAAACTAAGTGACGTCTTTTACATCGTGACGTTAAAGGTCGGTCCCCAGACGTAGATAATCATATCTGATTGATACATGTCTGTAAAAATACCAATTACACACACAAACACACACACACATAGGTTGTGAGTTGATTGTTGTTTATAACTTCAAAGTTTCATGAAGTTTCACGGTGCGTGTGAACGTGGCATAAGAGTCCAAGCTGATGCCACGGGTCCATTGCTTCTTCAGATTGATTTATGAATGTGAATACACCCTGGTCAGCTCGTTGATGAGTTATCCATCTTGGCTAACTCCATGACGTTCCTTGCTTGTAAGACTAGAGGCATGTCGATCATACTCCCTCTGAACATAAACGCACCCTGCAAAAATGAATCAAACACAACAGAAAATTGGTAATTTCTGATTTATTTCTTCGGCGGTGGAAAAAAGGAAATCATTTATGATTTGCTGTAGTCAATGTGAGATATCTTCTAATCTTGCAACAATATTGATATATTCCTCTGTTTCATACAAGAGCTCAATTTTAATTTTCCAGGGCTATTTGACAGCTATATATTACAGCTAAATCGTTCATTGCTAACCCCAAAATGTTGCACCTTTCCTGTGCCAGTTGTGACATTTGTGAAGGTTCATTTTTATGACTGGTCCAATTCTTAACTTGAGAAATTTATACACAATTATACTTCTTATAAAATTGTTGCTAGAATTTCATAGTATATGCTCAATAGAATAATATGATAACCTTCACAATTCTGAGGCCGTTTAAGTCACAGTTTACTTTTATTCAGCATATTACCAACTCTGAAGAAATATATTTTCAAAATATGAAATTTGAAATAACAGTGAATAGTGACAACAGGAGCATCAACTAATCTTTGCCAAATCAATATAAAACAAGAAGAGAATGTAAAGTAGAAATTATCGATGGGAAAGTGCGAGTGGGTGGGGGTGGGGGGCTATGAATGATATCCATTCAATCCATACAATATTTGGACATTAAGCTAATAAAAATCGAAAAAGTTGAACTCGTGTACTTCTGGCAATTAATCCATACAAACTTTTGTAAAAACAAATAAATGGACAAGAGGCAAATCTATCTTTTAAAATAATGCTCAGCACTACATCACATAATAGCACAGTAATGTACAGTTCCACCAGTGTTACTTTGAATATCAACAATAAAACAGTTAAATTCATTCACCTCCATCATACACGTTGTTTTCGACATATTGAGAACAGTTCAAAATAGGAGAAGCCTTCTGAATTCAAATGATATTGAATAATACCTTAAATCCAGTACAAGGTGAATCAAAGGAGTTAAACAACAAACAAACAAACAGATTATGGTAATTAAAGTTGCTCAAGCGTGGGTATATACTGTAGAGGCCAGCACACGGACGTATGCACAGGAGTGTAATACCCATTGGCTCAGTGTTATGTAGTGATCGGGAGTAATCGCCAAGTTGCCTACTTCACGAACGACTATATACCCACGCTTGAGCAACTTAAATATAGGATAACATCCTAGAATTCAAAAGAGAGGTAGCATCAATGATAGGTCATGAAAAACCTTCTTTTTTTTTTGCTCAAATCGAAGGCTTGTTTTTAGCAAAGTCATCTTTCAAAACAGCACCAGTCATGGATGGCAGAATTCTTCCATTATTAATATGACCCTTTATGACCTTGCCTAAAAATGGCACTATTCAAGGTTTCAGATAATCAGTCTCCCAAAAAGAAGATCAAAAGAAAAAGACAAAGAGGAAGGAGAAGAATAAGAATGAGAATAAAAAGAAGAACCATAAAACTTTTTTTTCTTTCAGGAGCCAGGCCATGGAATGTCAACTTTTGAATACCGGTAAACTTGATAATTAATCTCATTCTTATCCCAAGGGAGGGACCTTGATAAATTGATGAAAATAGAGGTCATCAAAGAGAAAGGGGTCAGACAAATATTGTCCAACTGTCTTTTAACACTCTTACTGATCCCAATTTCCCTTCAAGACAAAATAAATGTTAATATGACTTTGCATACAGTTTTAGAAACTCTGAGAACCAATCCCGACTAGCACTCATGCTAACTTTTGGTTCTCCCTTTAACAACATTTTACATTTTTAAGTTTAAAAATATCCCTTATTTGAATCACTTATACGTTATTGGAACTCTGTGAATTTCAATTCCAGCCACAAATCTCTACGTATAATATGAAGCTATAGCTAATTCACAGGTTTGATATGACATGATATATGATTAACTTAATTTGTACATATGGTTCATGAACTATGGATATTTTCTTTTTCTTTGTAACCCATGTACATGGAGATGTATACAACATGTTATTTTTGTTACCCACTTGGATACATGTTGTAACATTGTGTTATGTTGTTGTTAATCAATTCAAATTCAAATTCAATTCAAGACTTCCTGGTGGTATACATGTATATTTTCATATATTATCTATTTCAAGGCAGAAGGGGACTAAATCACATACCGTAATACAGAGTTAATGCCTTTCTGGTTCAGAACAGACAATATTATATTGAATCATAAAAACATTAACAAGGTTTCGGGGGGAAAACTTTCAATGCATGGCCTATAGCTTATACACAAATGTATTTACCCAATTTGCAATAACTTTTACAAACAAGAAACAAGATCTCTACAGGCAAGCACAAAAAGGAGAGACAGCTATAAATGCATTAGTGCATGAGAGGTCGTTAAGAAATAAAAGAGATTTTTTTTACGATTCAGTAGTCACCAGCATCTTCTTTAAACAGAGAATCAAATCAGGGTATTTTCTAATCAATCTGACCTCGATAATTCAAGACGACGCAGAACAAACACGGCATGGAAGGGCATCAAACTCTTAAAGATAAAGTTGAGTTCTGGTCATTCGATTGCATTGTGAAAAAATGGTGTGAAATCGATCAGAACAAGTTGATCATGTAGCATTAAGTATTGGTGTGTATTGCAAGGTTCTGGAGTCATCAAAATCATAAGAAATTTGGCCCAGTCTTGGTAAAGTAACAACCACTGTACACAGAATGATGTATATGGGACTACACAAACATAAAAATTAGGCCGATTTGTTTAAGGACAAGTCCACTCGAAAAATAACTTACTTTCAATAAAAGCAGAAAAATCAGACAAACCAATCAAAAAAAAGTTTGAGCAAAATCGGATAACTATAAGAAAGTTATGAATTTTTGAAAAAGTATGTAAAACTATGGAACAATGAGAATCACAAATGGTTGTCAGTTTGTGACATCATGTCCTCACAACTTGTCAATTGCTTTACATAGTTTAATCCCATTAATTTCCCTTTTTATTCCCCAAAACTTGATTTCCCCATGCTTTTGCCCAGGTTATATGATTTGTATCATATTGTGTGCATGACATTTCCCAAAAACTTTTATGAATTTTAAGGAATTGATACTATTTTCTGAATATTGTATTTTTATAATTATTGATTTGTATCTAAATAGTTTATAAAAATTCATTTTTTTCATGATTTAACTGGACAAAAATTACTCTTTATTTGTGCATCCACACAAACACATATTACTCAAAATATAACTTGGATGCTGGTGTGAAGAAATACGATTATTAGGGTGAAAATAGGAAATTTATATTATTCATATACAGAAAATAATTGGTGGATAGTGAGGACCATACGTCACAGAATCATGAGTGAGTTGCCAATTTGTGTAGTGATTTTCAAAGTTTTTCATGTCATTAAAAATTCATAACTTTCTTATTAGTTATCCGATTTTGCTCAAACTTTTTTTGATTGGTTTGTCTGATTTTTCTGGTTCTATTGAACATAAGTTATTTTTGGAGTGGACTTGGGCTTTAAGCTGTTACATGTCATATCTAGAATATGAAGACATTTGAAGAGCCATACTTTTCAGGGCACTTTTTTTCTCCGATGTTCTTCCACACTTGCATAATAACAATGATAACGCTCACAATTTATTTTTTACCTCTACCCAGAACTTAACCTTCTCTTTTAATAGTAAGGTCTCAAAATATATTTATTAAATCAATGCAAGACAACTCTACCAGGCATTTTAAAGGTTAAAGCATGTCTGCATTAGTCTGACCAAGAGGGATTAGACCTCCCTGCATGGTCACTGACAGGTGGTTATCTCATCAAATAAGCTCTCAATTAACATAAGAAAAAGGGGATCATGAGGGACCAATGGGTACTGCTTAGGCAATTGTTGCTATATAGAGTGCGCAAGTAGCTACAAGTAGTACAGTCCCGCTTTAAGAGTTATTGAGTATGAAAGTGACAAAGAAGAGACAGAACCCAAGTGGAATTTTTCTGTCAACTAGTTTACTCACAAATTGCTTTCACATTTATTGAAAATTATTTGAATTTGGAAAATCTCTTTATAGTGCTTTAAAATCATATTCTGTATCATATAGTGAGGCAGGTCTCGATCTTGATCGAAAGTCTAGTGACTTAACCACTCGACCTGTCCAAGAGTTTTCCCTCTCACATGATGGATTCATTGTGTAAAACAGACCTCCCAATCAAAACGTTGAAAAGAAGAATGAAATAACGTTGTGTATCAAAAAGGCCAAGTCGATCAAAAAGATTTGGTTTAATTACCAATTAATGTGTGCACAGGTCACTCGGGCAGCGAAACTCGTTGACCCACCAGAAAATTACTCAAGTCTGCCTTTGTATCTTGAGGGTGAGGGAAATTATTATGACAAGAATTCCTTATGGTGGTACTTTCATGGCACAGTGCATTACACAAGACCTGTTGGTCATAAAAGTGAAGTCCACTCTCGCTAATTGACAACTCCTTTTTATTGGGTAAACACCTAAATGGTGTCAAATGGTGAAAACCCACTTTTAAGAGTCTTTAACCCTATTTTAACTGGGCTATTTCAGACCAGGTTTTTACTGGGGGGGGGGGGGGTCAATTTGACCCCCCCCTAAGATCTCGGCCGTTTCACCGCCGATCGCCGCGAAAATTTGCATGCATGTCAAGTGAAGTGTATAGAATACTATGGTAATTTCAAATTTTTGAAAAATTCACTCATTTGCATATTTATGGTAATTTATGCAAATAAGGTTATAAAATTCACATTTCGGCCCATAAATCATAGATTATTCATATTTAAGTATTCTTTTTCACTACATATATTTATTAGACCATTTGGAATAATGATACAACACAAAAAATTGGAAGAGCCAGGTTATTCCTTATGTTATCTCTTGTTTTTATAATTTCTTATGTATTTCATTGTTTTTTTAACTTATGTATTTTATTGTTTTTGTTGTTTTATTTCATTTATAACTACAATTCAACTATTTTGACCTCAAAACAAACATCTAAACTTTAAACAAGACTGAATAACCAATGTTTTATCTATTTTTAGGAAAAATGACTTTTACATATGTTTTGTACACAAATCACGAAAATGAGCGATTTTCGGGCTGACATGCAAAGACAAAAGGTCACGCGACCTTGTAACCGTAGGTCCGATTTTCAAAAAAATTGTTTTAAAAGATGCGTAACACTCGAAAGTAAAAAGTCATGAGAGGAAAATTTTATATCTGCCGCGGTTTCGGAGTAGTCGTGAAATTTCTACAGGGGGGGGTCAAATTGACCCCCCCCCCCAGTTAACGTAGGGTTAAGCCCATCTGCACTAGTTTGGCCAGGGGGCATTAGACCTCCCTGCTAGGTCACTGACAGGTGGTTATCTCATCAAATCAGCTCTCGATTGACATAAGAAAAGAGGATCATGGGGGACCAACAGGCACCGATTAGGCATTGTTTGCTACATAGAGGGCGCAAGTAGCGATAAGTAGTGTAGTGGGGCTTTAAATGAAGAAAAAAAAGAAAGAAGAAGAAATTCTGTCATACAGTACCTGACCGGTTTGTTGATGTTGTTGGAAGCCAGCTAGGAGTTCTGTTGCCCATTCTATCCTCTCTGGACTAGGACTAAATGCTTGCTGGACTATAGACACTTGGGTGGGATGTATCACCTGCTTACCTGTAAATGATACATCATACAAACATACATGTACATCAACACTGGTAAAGTCAAACCTGCTTTAGTGACCAACTGTCTACAAAGACCACATTTTGTGTTTCCCTTGAAAATGGTTCCTCATTGAAACATGTACTATAGGCACCTCTCTACAAAGACCAGATTTTTTGTTTACCTTGAAAATGGTTCCTCATTGAAACATGTACTATAAGCCACCTCTCTACAAAGACCACCTGCCTATAAAGGCCACTTTTCTTGTCTCCCTTGGGTGGTCCTTAAAGACGGGTTTCACTGCTGGTAATACATTTCACTTTATACTAATAGGCATTGAAAACAAAAGGGTATCCTCTCTGGTCTAGGACTAAATGCTTGTTGAACTGTAGATCCTTTGCTGGGATGAACCACCTGTTTGCCGAACACATATCAAACGGTACACATTATTCAATCAGTCGTAGAGGCACGATTCTAAAAATAGCCACTAACATAATCCTAACCCTACTCTATGCAGGACACGGTATGCACATTAGCTACCTCTCCGCCCAAGTGCTAAAGGGAAAGTCCACCCCCAAAATAAGTTTGTTTCGATAGAGGCAGAATAATAAGAAAATCAGGTGAGTGAAAGTTTGAGCAAATTCTGAATGAAAATAAGAAAGTTATGAATTATTGAAGTTGTGATCAATCAAATAAAAATTGGCAACTCTGTGACTTATTATACGAGCTCTCCTTCATTTGCTTTGTGCATAATATTCCATAAAATCATGTTTTCTTTGTTATTGATGACGGAATATATATTTGTTCCTTGCAGGGGGAGTATATAAAGATATTTGCAATTATTATATTTAGGGTGCATGTATGGTTGAAATTTTTCTTGAGGGAAAATGAAAATTTTAGATTTTTTTAGTACTGAGCAAATGGAAGTTGAGCTCGCATAATACGTCATAGAGTTGCCAATTTGTGTTTGATTGATCACAACTTCAAAAATCCTAACTTCCTTATTTTTAATCGGAATTTGCTCAAACTTTTACTGACTTGTTTCTCTCATTTTTCTACTCCTATTAAAACTAACTTAACTTCAGGGTGGACTTCCCCTTTAAATGGGTACCCGGTAGGTTGCGAAAGCTAATGCGCGCTTGTAAAAATGATGCCTGGCTGGAATGCTCCCCAACGGAGTGGAGAATGTGCATACATTGTGTGCGGGTAAGCCTGAATCCGATGACTGGGAGAACAGTATAAATACTGATGAGGCTACCCTGGGTAAACAAGACATATTATTATTATTATTATTACCTTTGCTATATGACGTCAGTGGCTATTCTCAGAAATATGCCTCTACGCATATGCCTCACATCAAAGCTGGAAACACATTTCATATTATACTACTAGGCATTAAAAACAGGACAGTATCTAAACAGTACTATGGTTGCAGACCTGCCAACCTCTGGAGTTAAAAAACTGTATTCTTTAATCCCAAAAGTTGTATTTTACTGACAAAAGTTGTATTCTTTAAAAAAAAAAACGGACTGTTACGCGAATCAATGCCTCTTACAGTTCGTACATACAGGAAGAAATTTTGTTAAGTATCATTGGTTGAATATGCATGATTTCGTCACGTCTGGTGTGTTCGATGAACCAATGAACATCCCCAAATTGCTGATGTGAGATGCTTGTAGGATACTTTACAGGACAGAATGGGAATTTTGCCATTGAACATGGGACACACACACAAAAAAAAAAAAAAAAAAAGAAAAAAAAAAAAGTTTTTTGTTTTGTTCTTGAAAATCGTGTTTTATTCAGGAAAATCGTACTGTCGTATTTGCTTCTAAAAATCGTACCAAATACGACTAAATCGTACTGGTTGGCTAGTCTGCAGAGACAGCTTGAGGAGAGAGGAGTGATAGACCAAGGAAGGAATGGAGCTCCTGACGAAGGCTAGAAACTAAGAGTTATGGAATAACATGATTGCCAAAGCTGATACTGTAACTTTCGCTTGATTCATTTCGCTAAATTCATTTTTAGCGCTGAGCGACCCCAAAACATATTCACAGGTTCTTAAATTCACTTTGCACACTTCACTCCATTGTTTTCTTTACTATCGGAGCACAGGTACTAGTATTGCACGCAATTCAGTCCGTTCAAAACACGCATACAAAATTATGTTTATATTTTCATGAGTTCTAAATCGCGCTTGCCGATCTTAGCCTGAAATTCGCGAAAATTAATGTACTGCAAATATTTCTACTTTTGCAGTAGTCATGGCACCTAGAGAGAGAGAGAGAGAGAGAGATCCCACCAAATGACACCTATGAAAACATGATCATCTGCACCAAGATTCATATCATCTGAGAACAGAAAACCACGACCCCTTCTTTTCATGGCACTTTCTGTGCCTGGGAGGCAAGAAGCGAACTGAATCACTACAACATTTCTCATTTTACAAGAGATTTTTCCTAATTTTTTTTGGACACATACATAAAGATTGTCGTATCTTGTAGCATCATCATGGTAACAAGCGTTACGGAGGATGTACTCACCCGTGAATCCCATCATGGCACCTTCTTCTGAATACTTCTGAAGACCCTCTTGATCTGAACAAATAACACACAATATTAAATGGTAAATCTCATGACGTTGCATAAACGGTTTGAATAAAACGGAACAAAACAATTTTTTTTTCATGAGCACATACATGTTTCAGTTAATGCACTTTATAATGTATTCCCCCCTCCCCTTCCCTTTTGTATTGGTGTTCAGGTTTTCTCTGCTTTTGTTTTTCTTTTGTTTTGTTTTCTCAACAATATAGTGTATACTGGGTTGACGTTCAAAAGGATAATTGCCCTTTTTGATAACCCCACATTCCCATAAAATTTTGTTTGCTCTTTCGCTTTGTATTTTTCTTGTAATCAATCTTTTATCTGTATATCATGTTTGTATGTTTCAATGTTTTTTATGGAGAACGAAATAAATGAACTGAAATGAAATGAAATGTATATATATTTCATCATTCATAACCATGAACTACTACAGCATACAACATTCGCACCCGGAAAACATTCCTCAAAACAACTATAACAAAAACTACCTCCGAAGGTAAATATATTTATCAACTTGTCCCTTCTTGGCTTAAAATGAACTTGTCTGGGGATGATTATTCTAAGGGTTGATCATTCTCTCGAGTAGTTGTTGCACGAAGGAAGCTCTTGTGGTAGTTGTACTAGGGTGGTTGTTTGGTGTTAAAGTAGATATTCATTGATTTAAAAAACTAACTTTAGTTTCATTATTGCAAAGTTGAAACTTTGATTCGACAAGGTTATTAAAATTCAATGCATGGAAACATTTGAAGTAAAGATTATTATAAATTACAAAACGCTTAAATACAGCCCCGGCATAGCACCTGAAGAGCTCTCCGAACGCTGCTGAGATATGTGAGATCACAGTATGGACATGACTTGCACAATCAGACGATGTCCAATGACATCTTACACATTTTCAGTGCATGTGTTTTCATCTTCTCTTCAGTTCTTTCTCTTACTTCAATACCGTCAGGCTAAATGTATAATCTATTGCCTCACTCTAAACCCTGCGCATGGTTTTATTTTGATGATAAATGCAGCGATACAAAAATAAAGGAATCCGTCGCTTGTAAACAACACAAGACGCCATTGTATATTCAGCTGCACACACCGGGGTATGTTTGGCGTTTCAAGAGGGAACAAATGCTGTCCTTAATATCATTCCGGGGGGTTTTCAATTTGAAAGTCTGGTTTCTTTGATTGTTAATTAACCACTATCCTGTGTATTTACAAGCAAAATATTTTAGTTATCAGAATCAGGTCATATCCCATTTTGAATGGTTTGACATGCCATTACATTTATATACACTAAACTCATTATAATTTGAGAAATAATAGCTTTGCAATTATGTTCATTCTCTATGGAATGTCGTCTGCTTGGGCAGTGGTTGGTCCATATAGTGACATCATTAAAACACCGTTATTTTTCTGGCGAATCTCTCGTATATCCCAGCTGCTATGGAGGTGTTTGTATTTGTATTTCTATAAATCACCCGATATGTAGTTGACCTAAAACTTGTACAATGGCCATCTGTTAGCTTACCAGTTTCTAGTGATACATTAGTTGACATATTTGTGATCTTCTTTGAATTTCACCTTTAAGCATTTGGAGATAGTTTTCTGGGGTTTGGTTATGGAGAAACTGTGTCTCAGGGTTCCTTTCATTGGTGCCCCAAAGACCTCCAAGCTGTGGGACATAGATAGATAGATTATGCAAGGGATTGTATTCCTGAGGGTAGTTGTCCTTTGATGATTGAACTGTACCTTTAACATCTATGTGAACCATGTCAATAGCCTGAAGTCCAAATGCCTTGGCTACTGAGACCACCTTCTGCCTTGCATACAGGAGCTCTATTCCATCTTGTGACCGCGTGGCTCCTACAATCAAAATGAAATCAAATGGTGAACATTCCAGCTAACAGACTTCTACAGAATGGTAAAACAACAAATAATACAAGGATTTGATGAAAAGCACCATGGGTATAATAATAAAATAATGAATTACATAGGTAAACAAAGAACATCCCGTTTTCTATCAAAACAGAAGGCAAACTAGACTGTAAATTGTTCAAGTAAACGTTATATGTACTTATTTTAAGATTATAATGAAGTACTGTCCTATGTGCCATTGTGTTGACATCATAACATTATTATACTGTTTTTCGTAGCATAATATAGTACATCAATGTTTGTACAACATTGGGTCATAGGTGAAAGGGGCAAAACAGCGCTAAGGCAGTTTTCGAATTACAAGTAACTCTAACTCTAAAATGCAACTATTATAATGACCCCATTGTCTAAATGAAATGTGCATGGTACATTTTTTGTAATGCAAACTCTCAGCTACAACAAATTACATTTTTGAAGACAATTAAGCAGAGACAAGCGGGACACTGTCAATAGATCATATTTTAGAATATGACGTCATTAACAAAAAAATATAAAATCTTACTTTAAATTGCAAGATGATAACATAAACACTCCCTTTTAGAATATCCATTAAAAAATGGGGTCACTGGCCACTTTGAGGACCTACAGCAGATTCAAACCTGACCACCTGTATAGAAAGACTACATTTTCTGTTTCACTTGTACTCAAGTAACATGCACATAATGACCACCTGCCCATAAAGACTGCCTTTGTCTCTCCTGAGTGGTCTCTATATAAAAGTTTCACTGCAGTTGGAAGAGAAATACCAGCACAAACTATCTGTGCAATTTTAGTTTTCATGACAATTGACATACGCTCAACTAATGTCTACTTTACAGGATAGCATAGTTTACAGAAAAAGAGCCTGAACATTGAAAACCGATGAGAATAGAACAAGCCAATAGCATATTGAGAGAGATAGTTGTGACATGCCCATGCTTGCTCACTCAAGGTTCGATTCATAGAGCTCCAAATAGTTCCATCCAACATACAATCTCTATGGGAGGGACTATTGGACTTAACTATGGCAGGCCTTTCATGCCACTGTTTGCTCTCACCACTATGATCTTTAGATAATATTTTTCTTTCAAAGTTTAATAATAAATTATAAAAAATATAAATTCCATAGATTTGTGACCATGATTTGTACGTCCCTTGAGAGACAAATGCCAGTACAGGGTGAGAGCAAACAGTGGCATGAATGGACGGCTATATTTACATGTAAGTCCAATTTAAAGTTGATCTTAGTCTTTGTGAAACACTCCCCAGGATTTATTTGTTCCCATAGGCTTAAAGCCACACTGTCCTACTTGTAGCTACTTGCTCCCTCTATATAGAAACAATGCCTAATCGATGACCATTGGTCACCCATGATCCTCTTTTTCTTATGTTAAGTGAGAGCTGAGTTGATGAGATAGCCACCTGTCAGTGACTAGCAGGGTGGTCTTATCCCTCCTGGCTAAACAAGTGCAGATGAGCTTTAATACAGGGAGCTCCCTATTCCAGTAGGTGAGATCCCTGGCTATATACCTTACCTATATTAGCACAGTAATCATCCGACCCAAAGACCACACCATCCAAAGAGAAAGGTTCAGAGTCAAACAGCTCCAAGGCCTCACTGATGATCTCTGGTAATCTCAATAGGGCGATGGCACTCTCTGCATAGATGATGACCTTGAGTGGTGAAGTCACATCTCTGTCTCTCAAATTAGACTTCAGCTGCCTCACCAACTGCAGAGGTATAATAAGATTTGAAGTTTACCATTCTCTGAATAAACTGACCATCAAAATGGGATACTCCATCTCACCTACATGTAGGTAACCATGTACAAAATGACCTGACTTTCACTAATAGGCAACTATTATCTTTTCTGAATATTTACAATCTGTTGAATTCATCAAAAATCTCTTGCAAAATAGAATGTTGAGGAAACATGAATACATAAAAACAGGAAATTTTAATAATTTCTTTGTATATTGTTGTTTTATAATTGGCATGTTTTGTTGTTTTTGTTGTTGTTAGTATATGAAGTGTACATGATCTATGTTTAATTACCAAATGAATCACCTTTTTGATTGTAATGCTACTGTACTTCTATGAGGCACTGGCATCTTTGTTATGCCAAACAAATAATAATAAAAATCTGAATTTATAAACTGCTTAATAAGAAATATATCATTTCTAAGCGCTTTACAGATATTATTATCCTGGTCATCGGATTCATTCACGTACAATGTGTATCATCTCCACTCTCTGGGGAGTATTGCTACAATGGCACGGCAATTACTAATACAAATGCTTTTGTCATCCTACCAGGTGGGTCCCCATTCCTCTCATGGGTATGGAGTGGCAAATGTAGATTAATGTCTTGCCAACAGATATTAGTGCCATGTCGGGGATCAAACCCACAACCTTTGCATTTCAAGTCAAGTGCTTAAACTACTTATCTACAGTACGTCTACAACATATTGTCATGTGCTTAGGTAGACCTTAATTGATTCCATTATAAATAAAAAACAAGATATAGAGTGTAATCATAATAACAGCTGTAGACAACCATTGTCAAGACCCCTTTCCACACATTTTTTAAATTTTATTTTATTTTATTTTATTTTATTTTATTTTTTTTTTGGGGGGGGGGGGGATTTATCTCTGTAACTGACAAATGCATCTGAACATTATACAAACATGAATGCAAAAAATCTTTGTAAATCTCTTCTTTGGTTTAAATCAACAAAGTGAAACTCATGCTTGCTTGATTTCCAGGGGGGTGTTTCACAAAGATCCTAAGTCCAACTTGGACTTAAAAATTATGGAGAGCTATTTGTAGGCTTAAAATTAAATATATTTGAAAGTGAAAATTGAAGTCTTTTAGACTTTTTATGAATTCCACATCAAAAACATGAAATCTCCTTGATAGTAGAAAATATGAATGATTTGAATCAACATTTTATCCCTTTTAAAATAACTTTTACAAAATATCTTTCATATATGCTAACGGCTTTCCATAATTGTTAAAGGACAAGTCCACTCGAAAAATAACTTACTTTCAATAAAAGCAGAAAAATCAGACAAACCAATAAAAAAAAGTTTGAGCAAAATTGGATTTACTAATAAGAAACTTATGAATTTTTGAAAAAGTATGTAAAACTATGGAACAATGAGAATCACAACACAAATTGCAAAGATGGTTATCAGTTTGTGATGTCATGTCCTCACAACTTATCAATTGCTTTATATACTAGTTTAATCCCATTAATTTCCCTTTTTATCCCCCAAAACTTGATTTCCCCATGCCTTTGCCCAGGTTATATGATTTGTTTCATATTGCGTGCATGACATTTCCCAAAAACTTTTATGAATTGTGAAGAGAATTGATACTATTTTCTGAATATTGTATTTCATAATTATTGATTTTTATATAAATAGTTAATCAAAATTCAATTTTTCATGATTTAACTGGACAAAAAATCCTCTTTATTTGTGCATCCACACAAAAACATATTACTAATAACAATCTAACTTGGATGCTGGTGTGAAGAAATAAGATTCTTAGGGTGAAAATAGGAAATTTATATGATCAATATAAAGAAAATAATAAGTGGATAGTGAGGACCATACGTCACAGACTCATGAGTGAGTTGCCAATTTGTGTAGTGATTTTCAAAGTTTTTCATATCATTACAAATTCTTAACTTTCTTATTAGTTATCCGATTTTGCTCAAACTTTTTTTGATTGGTTTGTCTGATTTTTCTTGTTCTATTGAAAGTAAGTTATTTTTGGAGTGGACTTAGAGATAAGTGACAACTGAGGGTCTTTGTGAAACATCCCCCCCCCAGGATTTAGTACCTTACCCAATAAATATGTTCCACTGAATCCACCTTAGGGAAGAAGAGTGTGTCTGGGAGTCTTTGGGCCTTGAGGATTGATGTCAGGTCATCTTCTGCAAACCCACTCTCCATTGAATTGATTCGGACGGCTACATCAGTGACCAGGGGTAGATCTAAAGAATCCAGCATTCGACATACCGTCTCTCTGGCATCTGCCTGAAGGTTGCAATCGTATATTTCAGGTAAAAAACAATCATTAGAGGTGAAAGAATTAAGACATTATTAAAATTGGTCTCGTTTTCTGAGTCGGATCTGACATGGTACTCGATGACGATGCTTTGGGCATCTTTTCACGACACAACAATAAGAACAAGTTTGCCAAAATCCTATTGAAATTCATCAATGTTAATTTCAATTAAGTGTTTCAAATTCAATGGTAGGCTGTTGTTGACTTTAGCGTTATATGGCAATCAGTCTAATTTAACATCATCACCAACAATAAAAAAATAAATGGAGATGAAATATTATATCAACGTTTTTCCGAAAAATACTCCAAAAATAACAAGAAAATTGACAAGAAACAGGTAATAAACATAAAGACGTTTAACTCATGATCTTCATGTGGACATTTAATGAATATTTACTTCATTTTGGGTATGTTTTAGTAGGGTATCTCGATCTCCACACCAGAGTTACGGGTCAAATTTTGGATAGGTTTCTGAACAAACACCGAAATACCTTCTTATTGACTGCAACTCCATCTTCACACTCCATCACTGCACAATCAACTTTCAGATCAGTCAATTTCTTCAACATCTTCTCACTATGGCCCGGTACATACAATACAGCACGTTGAGGTGTTTTGGAGCTCTCGGTCTGTTCATGACTGCCATTGGTAGTTGAGCATTGTCGACTAGGTCTAGTACTGACAACCGAGCGGTTCTTCACCGCATTCTCCCCCGGAATCCAGGCGCTCTCTGCCAAGTGTCTTCCCGTACACCTCAACAAGCTTCGCGCAGTCCGTAACATGTCTATTTTTTCTCAATCTTAACACAGTTTACAATCCTCAGGTTTTGAGATTTAAGTGGCGTGATACTTGCATGTAAGTTATATGACAGAAAAGATGTCATGAATCTGTTTTTCTTTGGAATGCTTGATTAGAAACAATTGAAAATACACAGTCGGAGGAAACGTCGGACGTCGTCAGCTGCTGCGGTAAGGTGCGCATGTACAGTGCACGCCCATTGATGGCGTCCTATAGGTTGTCGGCCTCTGGTAAAAGTTCACCGCAAGGCCCGACGAACTACTGTAGGCCTATAGGTTCTGAAGTTTGAGTGCCCCTCTCCATCTACACTACCTCCCCCTGGAAGAGCAGAAAAAGAAGAAGAAGAAGAAGAAGAAGAAGAAAGAAAAAGAAGAAGAAGAAGAAGAAGAAGAAGAAGAAGAAGAAGAAGAAGAAGAAGAAGAAGAAGAAGAAGATATGAAGAAAAGAAGAAGAAGAAGAAGAAGAAGAAGAAGAAGAAGAAGAAGAAGAAGAAGAAGAAGAAGAAGATATGAATAAAAAGAAGAAGAAGAAGAAGAAGAAGAAGAAGAAGAAGAAGAAGAAGAAGAAGAGGGGTAAGCGGACACTTTTTTTTGTTTTTTTGGTAGTCCAAAAAAAAATCGCAACGACTCAGCCAACCGAAAAGTCGCTCAGTTGGGGGGGGGGGGGGGGGGGGGTTAAGCTTATTTTATATTGAATAGGATCTACCTGCCTTTCGCCATTCTTCGTCTGACGTTTATTAGCTGCACATTCGTCAAATGAATATGTTAACAATTATAATCGCGAGTTAGCTAGCGTAGCATGTGAGCGAGTTCTTTTGCACTTCTCTTTTGATAATAATTATAGGCATATTTTGTTTACATAAGTAACTGTGTCTTCTTGTCCCTTGAAAGGGAGGGCACAAACACATTTAAAGGTACTATTTCCCATTTGCAGGCCAAACAAAAATGAAAAGGTTAAATTCCAACTGCATTTAAAAGTAAATACTAATTTAGAACTTCCCTAAACACAAAAAAAAAAGGGGGGGGGGGGGCTTGAAAATGTCTTTACGTGGGGGAAATAACGACTATTAGTTGTCGAATCGACTTAAGAGCTATATATACAGCCAGTGAGTAATAGTCTGATTTTCAATCAGATTCAATCAGTTTAATTTTGGCCCTTACAAGAAGTGGGTAATTGATGTAAACAAATGCTCATGTACCCTTTACAGCTCCTGTTATGTATGTTAATACCAAAGAAGAAAAAAAGCCAGTTTGTCACTCAATAGTGTCTGGCAGTGAAGTCTAGCAAATAAACAGGTTTCCTTCATAATTTGAATATTAGTTTAACTTTCACAGATAGGACAAACATGACATATTTATATTTCCTGCAAATTTCTACATCATTTGATGTTGGCTGCAAAAGGGAAATAGTATATTTAAGGGAGTGTTTTTTTTGTTTGTTTTTGATTCTTTAATTTGGCAAACAAGGAAGGCAAAAATCATAGGTTATAATCTTGAATATAATTTTCTACATTACGCCCCTTAATTTGAATCAAATGGGCAAGTATTATTCCAGGATTTATTGTTTATTCCTTGTTGGCGAGCGAGGTTAACGAATGGTCGAAATTCTTGGCTTGCCATTTCATTTTAAAAAGCATCTGCGAGACCAGCATCGCTTGTTAATCACTGATGTACACAAATGTATTACGAACATAAAAAGGGTAGCGAGCAAGCGAATTTTCATCCTTTTCATATCATAACTGAAATCCATCTGCCTTAATCAATAATTATTATTTCACGAGCATGTAGGCCTATATATTTCATACTCCATTTTATTTCTAGTTTTCCCCCGACGTGTCCCGACGCCGCGTCGGCAAGATTTACCGTCATTAATTTTCCTATATTCTATTTTGTGTCCCTTTTCCCTTGTCTTTAGCCTTTTTTTTTTTTTTTTTTACTTGACCATTTCTTTTCCATGTTTTCTTGTCCTTTTCTTTTCTTCCTATCTTTTTTCCCTGCAAAAGGAAGCATTTGTCTCCAACGGGGTATTTTGGGGCCGGAGCAATTGTCGGCGGAGCAAGTGTCGGCGGAGCAATTGTCGGCGGAGCAATTGTCGGCGGAGCAAATGTCGGCGGAGCAATTGTCGACGGAGCAACTGTCGGCGGAGCATTTGACGTCGGAGCAAATGTCGCGGAGCAAATGTCGCGAAGCAATTGTCGCTTTTTGCGGAGCATCTGTCGGCGGAGCAATCGTCGGCGGAGCATGTGTCATGAAACCCTTAAATTGACGACTGTAATTTCGACCAATCAGATGGCTAGATTTCTAAAGAGAGATATATAATTTCCACCACCATCCTCATGAACAGTCAATACTTGTATACTATTACATTCACAATACCTGATATATGTATTACATCAAATATTCTTCGATATACATTACTCTCCTCCATAAACAAACATATGACAAAACCAAAAAACAAGGCAGAATAAAGCAAAATTACTTTTAATCGAAAGAACCCAAGGTTTATGGAAACTTAACAGACTTTGAAGATGACATATCTGATTAATTTATTGAGAATATATCACCGTTCATAATTCAACATTTGAATCATGACACGCATGTGAAGCTGCTAAAGTGTAACCTCACGCTATAGTGTAACCTAACGCCTAAGAAACTGAAAAAAGGTTCACTTCAGCGGATACGCTATATACACACTGATACACAGTGGAACCGTTATTGAGGAGCACACGCTAACCGTAATTTGTTGGGAAACACAAGCGAACCATAATAGTGGCTATCTGAAGGGACATCGCGAATCACAAACTTTGAAGTGAAATTCGTGATGAAAATATGCGACAAATCTCATATTTTGTCTCGATTTTTAAATTTATTTAGTTATATTCTATTTCCTTTATCTCTGCTTTCTTTCTCTTTCTCTCTCTTCCTCTCTTTCTTAATATATCTCACTTCTATAACCCCCCTCTCTCTCTCTCTCTCTCTCTCTCTTTCTCATCTCATTCTCTCTCTCTCTCTCTCGTTATCCTTCTCTCTCTTTCTCTACACTTCCCCCGCCCTTTCTGTTTTTCTCTCTGTCTCTCTCATCTTCTTCTTCCTTTTTCTTTCTATCTATTAATTGTTGTTTTGCTATAGCCGAGCTTTAGAGCCTTTCTACATTGTTGGAAGGCCCAACAATTTGATAGACACCAGGCTGATGGACACACTTAAGACACACTTCTGCATGGATTTTCAAAACATGTTTATGAAGACGAATATAGTGATGAAAGTACAACATTAGGGTTTTCTGCGTACAACACAAACCTAAATAAATTATTGGGCACTCCTTCGTCAAATTCGTCTTCAAACATATTTGTTTTATGAATCATTGCAGAAGGACATCCTCTTTCGCATCATTATATAATTTAACTGAAATTTTGCTATAAAATATTAAGACAATTTTGGGCTCCCAACACTTTAGAGGGGCTGTGTTTATAGTGCGTTCATTACATACATTCAGAAACATAAATGAAAGCTCAATTTGATACGCTGACCGTTTTAAACGTAGTATAAATTCAAACATCTTTGGTTCTAACCAACCACATGGCCACATGATTGTTTCACGGTGAAAGAATAATGTCTGTGAAAATGTCAGGTGTTTAAGGCCCCTCTAAAGCTTTGGGAGCCCCACAAATTTCATGGCAAAACATTGATCTACATTTGCCACTCTCCACCCAGGTGTTAATTAATGGGTACCCGGTAAGATGCGAAAGCTAATGTGCTTAGATTAGCAAGTGTGCGCTTGAAAAAAAATATGACGCCTGGCTGGAATGCTCCCAAGGGAGTGAAGAATGTGCATACATTGCGTGCGGGTAAGCCTGAATCCATTGACCCGGGTAATTATATGATTGCAGGGCCCTCAGGGAGAACAGTATAAATACTGATGAGGCCAGGCGCGGATCCAGGTTTTTTCGGGGAGGTGGGGGTGGGGGGGGGGGGGCAAATTTGAAATTATGCGAGCCAAATATTGGTACGTAATGGTGACACCGGCAATGGCAAAAACGTTTGGGGGGGGGGGGGGGTAGACGAAAAAATCCCCATCACCCCACTCTTATATGCAGGTCCCGCTGAACATTTCTCGGCGGGGGTCAAGGGTGGAGCCCCCAGAAGCTTATGGGGTATAGGCATTGAATTACTGTCAGATGAGCATATTTTGATACCTTATTTGTGACACTGGCAGGACACAAATTGGTGTGGGGTCCAGGGGGCGGAGCCCCCAGAAGCTCAGGGGTTTTATACATTAAATTACTGTCAGATGAGCATATTTTGATACCTTATTTGTAACTCTGGCAGGACACAAATTGACGTGGGGTCCAGGGTGCGAAGCCCCCGGAAGCTCAGGGGTTTGGGGCAATACGGTCAGATGAGCAATTAAAAAAAAAATTTATCTCCCTCAAAATCTTTATGGCTGATAAAGATATTTTGATTTTCATTATTTTTATTTTTATTTAAAGGGTGAGAAAAGAGTTTTAAAACGTCGAAACAATTTTGAAAAAACAACAACTAAATGATAAGTTAAAGCCCCTCTAAAGTGTTGGGAGTCCTACACATTAATGGAAGAAAAAAAAGTATGCACCAAAGCAAGCCATCAATTCAAAAAAAAAAATCACATCTGAAGGGGCACACCCCCCCCCCCTCAGACACCCCCTCCCCTTGCGTTCTTGTTCCTGTTAATTGAACTTACGACTGTTTTCTTTTTAATTTGGCAAAAATTATGCACCAAATCGAGCAATTTATGCATCAATTGAAAACAAAACTTAAACTCTGAGGGGGGTACATCCCTCTCAGACACCCCCTTCCTTCATTGCACGTCCATTCGCCTCCCCCCCCCCAAAAAAAAATAAATAAATAACCTGGCGCTTAAGTGTAACCTGCTGCTAAAGGGTAACCTGCTGCTAAAATATAACCTGCTGCTAAAGTGTAATCTGCTGCTAAAGTGTAACTTGCTGCTAAAGTGTAACCTGCTGCTAAAGTGTAACCTGCTGCTAAAGTGTAACCTGCTGCTAAAGTGTAACTTGCTGCTATAGTGTAACCTGCTGCTAAAGTGTAACCTGCTGCTAAAGTGTAACCTGCTGCTAAAGTGTAACCTGATGTTAAAGTGTAACCTGCTGCCATGGGCGGTGCCACAGGGGGGCGGGGGGGGGGGGGGGGGGACAGGGGAGCACCTGTAAATTTTTTATTATTCATTTTCTCTAAAGCAGAAGTGTTTTAGGGGCAAATTTTTTGTTGCTTATTACATCCACAGGGGTATCCAAGTTTAAGTGAAAACAGACCAATATTGATAATAACAATTGGAAAAAACTGATCTGATCGACTCCTTAATTCTCCCAACTATATTATTACAATTTAATTAAAATTAAGGTGATTGTTAATCATCAAAAAGCAATGAATTGGCTCTATATACCATTCAAGACATTTAATTGTTGAAAGATTTAAACAAATCCTGTCTTACAGTATGTCTTATTTTCATGAAAAAAAAAACGGTTGGGAGAATTCAACCAGAACGTCAATGACGTAGCGCTCATCCGCATCTCGCAACAACAAATAACCAAAATAACAATATGTTAGATTTCATATTGAAAACGGTATTATAATACTATTTCCATGAAATGTAGAGGACTATTTATAACTGGATGAGCAGATGAGTAACTGTGAGGTAGATGCTGGACATAGTGTGGTAACGCATGACGGTCAGTCTCTAGATCTCATCACGCGTGCGCCTGGCCTCAGCTCAGCTAGCTAGCTCCAGACGTATACACGAACAACGAACGCGCGCCGGCATCACGACCGCTACGGCCGCGAGCCCGTTCGCCGAAGTGAACTTCTTTTTCAAAAACTTAGGCGGCAGGTTACACTTTAGCGGAGTTTTCACTTCAGCAGCTTAACACACGCATGTCTGCTTAAACAAATGATTCATGATAAATCACTTTAAAGTTTATGTTCAATCTGGTTTAACTCATGCTATATATCTAGCCCTTGTCTAGCCCTTGTCAAAGCAAGATTATGCTGGTTTGATTCTTTTGCTTTATACGGTCATATAAAAAAATCAACAATTAAACAACCTGAATCATGTTCATTTGATAAGTCTAATCGACAAAATTACATCGACACGCTTTTGATCCTGGGGCCTCACAGTTACGAGGCCATTGCTTTGTCACTGAACCATGACTGTACGCAGTGGGGGCTAGGGTAGGGGGCAGTTTCCATAAATTAAAAACAAAACACAGAAAATGCAATAAATTTTCAATAATTGCATTTCACCCCGGTCCCTAACATAAAAAAATCCTCTGGATGGCCATGCATTATGGCTCAAGGCATGGGCACACAGAGGATTTTTTTATGTTGGGAACGGGGTAAGATGCAATAAATTATTGATTTTTTTTTTGCATTTTCTGTTTTTTAAAAATTTATGGAAACTGCCCCCTACCCTAGCCCCCGCTGCGTACAGTCATTGTTCAGTAACACAGCAATGGCCTCGTAACTGTGAGGCCCCAGGATCTAAACCGTGTCGATGTGCTATATTAGTGCCCTTTTGTGGGGCATTAATCCTCATTACTGTCATTTATGACTTAAGGGCGTAGGTCCCCTAGTTGATAAGCATAGTAGCATACCCATGCTTTAGCAGTCACGCAAAACACACATTGTCAAATTATTATTCTATAAAATCTGAGAATGTATACTATTATCTAGATCTATTATTTTTAAATTATGTTTGAAATAATTCCTTAAATTGGGGTAAAACAAAAATATTCCATCTTTATGAGAGACAGTGTAGCTCCGTTTATTCTCATTTAACAACGCCCCCTATCGTCAGAGTCAGCAGCCTAACATGTTAGCCTATGGAATTTTACCAACAAAATCGTTACAAATTCATTTTTTGTTTAAACGAAAAGCACATCCACCTCGACGTACGTTATCACTAGCTCTTTCATTGAAACCCTCATGTCTCATTGACTTTTGAAGGTTAACCCACCGTAATTTCATCAAAATAGGTCGCAAGCTTGCCATTGCCTATTATATATAACACATGTACAACAAGTCGAACTTTGGACTCAATTTACCACGCGATTGTAAGGTTATAAGTCAAGCACACGAAGGATAAGAAGCATGAATTATCATAGATCAGTTCTGATTTGTTCATTATGTCCATTTCATCCAACCCCCATCGTAATGTTTCCATTTAGTAGAGGCCAGCATTTTGCCAAGGTAAGCAAAAACATGAATATTCATGAGCGGTCAGACAATACAGCCTTTTAGTACGTAACGTATAGTGAATGGGAATGGGCGATGATCCGTCCAGGAGGTAAAGGTCAGTGGTTTGTGCTGGCAATTTTCCAGCGAGCGAAAATGAGACAACCGGAGCAATATGTAACACCACAAGTATACCAGTGATCACGAAGAAGATGGTATAAGATTGGATGACGTCAAACAAAGCTCCTGGGTGAAGAGAGGATTCCTCTGAATCAATCATGACCGGAGCGATGCTAAACTTGTTTGGACTTGACTCTCCTGTTTAACAGTACCGATATGACTACAGTGTTAATGGTGAAGAACAAAACAGGGATTCCAGTCATCATAAAGACGATGGTATAAGACTGGATGACGTCAAACAAAGCTCCTGCATGAGAGAATAGATTAAGAAATAATAGAAAAAGAATTGCAAGCTTGAATAACACAAAATAATAGGCGATGAGTTGTCCAGATCTTTGAGTGCTTAAAGGTTCTATTTGAAAATATCAGAATATTTTAGAGTAAAACTGAAATAGCTTCATTGTTTTAATTTCAAACCCCTTCATAGTGTAGAAAATCCTAGACGAAATACTTATCACTAAATTTGCTCTAAAAATGACAAGCTTACCATTTCGATTTTGTAAAAAAAAAAAAAAAAGAAAGAAAAAATCTCGAAACAGAGTGGAACGTTAATAGAACCCACACTAGTATCGTGCGGGAGGAAACCATGATGTGCGTAGTAGAGACACTTTTAAACAACTGAACCATCCCTACTAGGAAAGATCTATGAATTAACAATGGCTGTTTTACAGGCCTGGTACTTTAGTAACGATATGCGTTCGACTATTAAGTATTATTTTGCCAGTTTATTTTAGATTATAAATTGATTAACAATTGAATTGACAAAAAAAGTTGTATAAAAAGTGGCATTCTCTAGTCTTAATCAAGTTTGTGATAATTTATACAAAGCTTGAATTTAATATTATTTAGGAGTGTCAAGATATTCTGTCTACCTGTGAGTAACCCTGCCGAGATATTACCAGAGCCGTGCATCAACATCACCAGTCCAAGGCCGAAACTGAAGTTGCTTTCATCTACCAACGTCAGTTTAAGAAAAGTTGCGTCTGAAGTATCCAGAACAAAAAAGCAGAGGCCCTGAATAAATGCCCAAACTGAACGAATGATGAATGATTCACCGACGAAATCCAGGAAAAATGACAAGCTGGTAATAAAACCAACGGTGATGTAGATTTTGAGCATGTGTACTTTCTTAACGAGGAGAATAACTGCAATTGTCCTGCCTATAATCCCACTGATTCCACCGATTGAAGACAAAAAGACAGCTCGAGATGGGGTGATGCCTAACTGTTCTGCGTGAGGCACCAGGAACAACACCCAGGCTCCGAACGAATAGGCACGAAAGTAATTCGCTGGGAGGCACATTAGGAACAGAGCTTCCTTGGTCATAAACATTTTGCAGCGAGATATAAATGATGAGCAGAAATTATATTTCTCACTATCATTTTGACCAGATCTTGAAGCATTAGGAAGATCGCCCACCTCACCAGGATGATCACATGCACTATTGAGCAAAGAAACGCGTTCCTCACAGTTATCATCGTCAATTAAAACCCCTTTATCCTCCTCGTATCTTTTTGTATCATTTATTACGATTGCAGCATTTAGTGTCTCCGTATTTTCAAGGTTTTCCTTGGTATGAAAACGGTTTTCTGCCAGTGCCTGGCCTTGGTCCGTATCATATCTCGGTTCATCTTTCGATGTGGGCATTTGATCACCTCCTTCTATACCATCTTCCTCATCGTCATCCTCCGACGGTTCATGACGGATTACCTCCGACGGATCTTGATCTCTACCATTTTGTCCAGTGGTGTTATTTTTCACGCTGAAGATTGGTTTCCGAATGGCCGCTCCCCCTGCAACCTTATGAAACATGATTGCTCCAAGAATCATGAAAACTCCAGAGTAACCGTACGCTTCTAGCGATCGCTCAGCGATGACAGGTAGGAACATTACGCCTGCTGTTGAACCATATGATGCTATGGTGTTCATTAGAACATAGTTCTCTTTGAAATACTGGTTCATCAGGAGAGCAATCGGAAAGTAGGCACAACATCGGCCAATTCCTGTCAATGAGATAACAAAGTGTTGTTAAAAAGCAGCATAAGTGAAACAGGTTGACTTCGTAGCCCAGTAAGGCCATTAACCTAGGAGTCGGAGCTCTGATGTAAAATCCCCAATTCAACCCGCACTGGGCCAGCGTGGATGGGTAGGCCCACACAAACCAGCATGACAGACACAAATAAGCAAAGGCCCCCAGTCCCCAGCAGCTCATTTGTTCCGGACCAAGGTGGCGACCCGATAAAGCATGGAGCAGGGGGTGCTAAGAATCCCTGGGTTCGGACAGGACACCAATGGAAACTGAACATTGCAACCTATAACGTAAGATCACTACTTCAAGAAGAGAGACTACTGGAACTCGAGGAAGAACTACAAGGAATAAAGTGGGACATCGTCGGACTGGGTGAAGTCCGCAGACGAGGAGAAGAACTCACAGTACTGAAAAGTGGGCACCATTTCTACCATATAGGAAAGAAGAATACGAGTGAAGCAGGAGTAAGATTCCTGGTACACAAAAGCATCGCCGGTAACATTTCTGAAATAAAAGGAATAAATGAACGTCTGGCACAAATAACAATAAAAATCAATAAGAGATACAAAATCAAGATTATCCAAGTCTATGCTCCAACTTCAACACACGACGATGAAGAGGTAGAGAAACTCTACGAGGAAATAACGGACGTGATAAGTAAAACACAGTTTACAATAGTCATGGGTGACTTTAACGCCAAGGTCGGGAAAAGAGAGGAAGGAGAAGAAAGCACAATCGGCCCCTTCGGAAGTGGGCAAAGAAACGACAGGGGTGACCGACTTCTTGAATTTGCCATTAGCAACAAAATGAAAATAATGAACACTTTCTTCAAGAAAGAAGCATCCAGAAAATGGACATGGAAAAGCCCAGGCGGAAACACAAAGAATGAAATTGACTTCATATTAACTGATAATCCTCACATCATCCAAGACGTGAAAACAATCAATAAGGTGAGCGTGGGAAGTGACCACAGGATGGTAATGGGCAAGATGAAGATCAACACCCGACTAGAGAGGCAAAAACTCCTAAAACCAAAACAAAGTAGCATTAACCTAGAGAAACTAAAAGAGAAGAGAACAGAATTTCAACTGGAGTTGAAAAAACCAATTTCAACTCCTGACGGACAAATGCACAGACGAAGAAGGAAAGGGGGGGGGGGGGGGGGGGGGGGGGGGGGGGGGGGGGGGGGGGGGGGGGGGGGGGGGTAAGAGGACACTTTTTTTTTTTGTCTCAAAATTTGAAAAATTGACATTTTGCTCCGTTGGGGGGGGGGGGTAAGGTCACCTTTCTTAGGTCAGCCATGGGGGTGATTTTTTTTTTTTTTTTAATAAAAAAAAAAAAAAAAAAAAAAAACCAAAGGGGGGGGGGGGGTTTAGGGATTTTTAGGGGGGTTTACACACATAAAAATACCAAAGAGGGGGGGGGGGGGTTAACCCCCCAAACACCCCCCCCCCCCTGCGTACGCGCCTGATACCACGTCAATGGAAAGAAGCCACAATGATAATTCTGCACAAAAAGGGGCACAAGCGAGACCTAAAGAACTACAGACCCATCAGCCTCCTCTCAAACCTGTATAAGCTGTACACAAAAATCATCACCAACCGGCTAGAGAAAATCCTTGGTAACAACCACCCAAGGGAGCAGGCAGGCTTCAGAAGGGGTTTCTCAACTATGGACCACATCCACACCATTAATCAACTGAAAGAAAAATGCCAAGAGTTCAACATCCCTCTATGCGTAGCATTAGTAGACTACGAAAAGGCATTTGATTCCGTAGAAACCTATGCATTACTGAAGGCACTTCAAGACCAAGGAATCAACAAAGTATACATCGAAATCCTTAAAGACATTTATTCAGACTGCTACAACACTGTCAGAATGCACAAGGCCAGCAACAAAACCATGATAAGGAAGGGAGTTAGACAGGGAGACACCGGCTCACCAAAATTCTTCACTGCTTGCCTAGAGAGCATCTTCAAAACATTGGACTGGTCATCAAAGGGAATCAACATAAACGGGGAAAACATGAGTCACTTAAGATTTGCAGACGATATTGTCATCACATCTCACAACTTAAACGACCTCGAAATAATGCTGCAAGCACTGGACGATGCAAGCTGACTAACAGGCCTCAAAATGAACATGAAGAAGACTAAAGTCATGGCAGGATCAGCCAAAGATCCAAAACAAATCCAAGTGAACGGTACCAAAATGGAGCAAGTAGAGGAGTAAATTTACTTAGGATATCGTTTCTCCTTCCAAGACAAGAATCAAGATAACGAAATAAGAAGAAGAATCAAAGCTGGATGGCAAGCTTTCGGCAGATACAGCGCCATCATGAAAGGCAAACTTCCATTATGCCTGAAAAAGAAAGTGTATAACCAGTGCATCATCCCAGCAATCTCATACGCTGCAGAAACATGGACACTAACATCAAAAATGGAAAGAAAGCTAGCAGCCTCTCAACACAAGAAGTATTCTAAGCATCACATACAAAGACAGAAAAATGAACAAATGGATCAGGGAACAGACAAAAGTCCAGGACATCCTTGAAACAGTGAAGAGAAGGAAATGGAATTGGGCGGGCCACATCAGCCGTAGAAATGACAATCGCTGGAGCTCAGCAATCACACACTGGACACCATATGAGGGAAAGCGAAACAGAGGACGTCAAAGAAAAAGATGGCGAGACGAGCTGCAACAGTTCTGGGGAGAGACAAATTGGCATCAACAGGCACAGAACAGAGGCATTTGGAGACATCATGCTGAGGCCTTCATCCTGCAGTGGATTGACAACGGCTGATAAAGTAAAAAAGTAAAGTAAAGTGAAAAATATTGCAGATTGATGTTAAAGATATCATTGCTCGCTACTACTTTAAGAATTTTTTTTGTTGGTGTTTTTGTTTTCTTCTATCGCTCATATATTTTGCTTCCTTTCGGACAAACATGAATACATAACTAAGATATAAATGAAAAAAGCCCTAGGGTAATTTCCAGGGTGACACCAACAACGGTAATATGTTTAAAATGAAACCACAAGATACCAGACACACCCATTTATTACCCCTCCTAATATGACATACCTGTGAGTGCCAGCATGAAACCTAGTCCGGTAATGTTGGAGATGAAACCGCATGCTACCAGACAGCCCCCACTTATTACCCCTCCTAACATGGCAACGATTCGATGATCTACCCTCTGAAGGACCAAGGAAACGAAAGGACCTGCATGGAAATTGATTTAATTATAGAAATTCCATATTCTTTAAATTTGCTTCGATATACGATCCGAACTCGAATATGTGTACCTATAACGCCATTATCATTCCAACGATACAACTATGATAATGTATGTATAAGTTTCCATAAATTTAATGAAAAGCGGTTTTTGTGTAGAAATCTCTACAAAACCCCTTGACAAAACCGCCCTTGTGGCCAAGAATGTGTAAATAATGTCTAAAATAAGATTCTTGTTCTTTCATCAATTTAATACGTCCAATCTCCTCTGTACCCTGTCCACAGTCAGTTCATATAAAGTCAGATCGGGTTATTTTCCATCTCCAAGTAGTTCAAGCCCGACCGTAGTCAGTTTAACGCGCTCGTAACTAGTTCTACCTCATCCCCAATACGTCCAAACCGATTCTAACTAGTTTGTTACCCGACCGCCCCGTTCAGGGACCTTTCCGTTCTCAGTGCGTTCAAACGCGCTCCTATAATAGTGCTTGTAATCCCGTCCTGCATGACCAGAGGGCTATAAAACCCACTGCGTTCTTGCCATTCATCATTCCCGTACAACGCTTCAAGCTGTCTAGATCAAGACATTCGAGTTGGGACTATTTGCCAACGCCCAACGGGATGAACAAGCAAACGGATCTGATCGAATTAAAAACTGACTCAGTTGTACTGCTAATTGATGCTCACGTTGTAACACGTTCCAAGAAGGATCGCAGTACGGCAATTACCTTCGTAGTACGTCCAATTTGTTTTAAGTACGTGGTCACTCCGTCTGTTTGCAGGATGGGGACAATTTTGAACAGACTCAAAGTTCTAGAGCACCCTCCTCGTCTTAGCAAGTCTGAGCCCGTCCATGACGTCCTTAAACGGATGTTAAACAGTTGCTACTACGTTTAGTCTGTTTGCACACAGTTTGAGTGCCTTTGGCAACATTTTCCGGTATGTAGTGAGAACTAGTTTGGTGTGATGGGGGCTTTAACTGGGTAATTATTCATGAGTGTCCGGGTGTGTGTGGATGTGTGCTTGTGTGTAGATGGGGGACGGGGTATGGACCCGGAAATGGAATACCATTATGAATACGTCTTACAAATTTTGATACATTTGAAAATATAGATCTAAAGTCAATTGTCCTTCAAAGAATTTTAAAGAAACAAATAATTCACCTGAAAAGAGACAGATTGTACCGGGTAGACTGCAGATAAAGCCTACTGTAGCGTAATTTCTGTTGAATCTTTCAACCATTACTGGAAGGAGAACCCCGAAAGCCTTAAGGATCCCAGAACCCATGTTTGTCATGAATTTGCATAGTATGATGACGTAACCCCACTTCCAGTTTAAAATGGAGATCTCTTGTCCTCTTGATGACACCATTTCTGCAAGCAAAGTAGTCGTACAAGAAAATACACAGTAAACTGTTCTCACCTGTCTAACGACGTGTAAATCTGAAACTCCATTGTATTTAATCCAAACAGGTCAAGTGTATCATTCAATCAATATATCAAATGAACCCCACACACAACCAATCAATCAGTCAACCAACAAATCAATTATTCAATCAACCAACAAAGCAACCAACTAACCAATCAAACAATCAGCCTATTAATCTTTCAATCAACCAACAATCCAACCAATCAATCAAACAATCAACCAATCAATATATTAATCAACCAACAAACCAACCAATCAATCAAACAATCAACCAATCAATCAATCAGTATTCAACCAACAATTTCACCAACCAACTAACCAATCAAACAGGCAACCAATCAATCAACCAACAAACCAACCACCTAACCAATCAAACAAGCAACCAATCAATCAATCAATCAACCAATAAACCAACCAACTAACCAATCAAACAATCAACCAATCAATCTATCAGTTAATCAACCAACAATTTCATCAACCAACCAACTAACCAATTAACCATTCACTCAGTCAATCAACCAACAATCCAACCAACCAATCAAAGAATCACCCAATCAATACATCAATCAACCAACAAACCAACCAACCCAACAAACTAATCACACAATCAACCAATCAATCAATAAATCAATTAACCAACACATCAACCAACCAACTAATGCCTGGATTACATTTCGCTTGCGATTAGTCTACGGGGTCCGTATCCTGCCCATACCCCCTTTTCTGTGCGGCCTCCGTGGGGAGGCAGAAGGCGGCCGTGAGATTTCGTACGGATTCACGGGCTCCGCGGCTACTACGATTTAGTTTCGCGGGGAGTTAAACAAATTTGAAAAAATCGTAAGCCCGTAGCTCGTCGACATGTCGTAGGTGGTATTGCACAATCCCCGCACGGGCATTGCGTGGAGGCCTCACGCTGATTCAGTGAACATTGGGGCAACAGACGCCGAAAAAACGGCACGGAGGCTGCCCGGTCACCGCGACTTCTCCGTGAAATCTCTGTATGGAAGCTGCACGAGCTCCGTACGGTTTCCGTGCGGAGGTTGCAGAGACTGCACGGGTGTTGCACTGAAATCTCCGAGCAGCCTCTGTATGGATGTGTCCCGGTCTGCCCCCAAGGGCCAATACAAGAAAAGGCACGATGCTCGTAGATAATGTAAACACAAACATCGTAGCCCGTAGCTTCCTACGATGCCCCCAAAATCGCATGAAAAATCGTAGACCAATTTATCGTGCGGCGCCCGGGCCAAATGTAATCCAGACATATCCAATCAAACAATCAGTCAATTGATATATCAATTAACCAACAGACCAACCAACCAACTAACCAATCAAACGATCACCCAACTAATATAAGTGTTAAGTGGAGCCAGACGTAAAGGTATATCTTAAAGAGCACAATTTATGTCAGACTCACTCTCATGCAGTATGTCTGTAATGTATGTAGACCAGTAGATTTGGGAATCAAAGATCACGAAAGTTAATAATGCCCACACAGCCGCACTGTTTATCATTCTCATTCTTTTTCTCGTTCAGAGTGGTTGCAAGCATGCACGTTAAACACTATACCAATACAACATAACGTCCACAATAATTTCCTTCTCCGTTCCATGCCCGAGTGGAACATCACAATGCAAGTTATTTTACAGAAATAACTGTCCGGTATGGGCTATTTTTTAATAAAAACGACATGTATTCCATAGAGGTGGTGAAGCCAGACGCAAACAACCGTCGATATGACGTGGAGACTGAGCTTTTGTCTACATAGTGTCCTAGTTGCACTCAAGCGATGGATGAACAAGTTTAATTGAACAAAGCTGGTGTAGCTATGCGAGATAAATATTTTTTCTTTAATTCCACATACTTTTCTTAAGTTCAGTTCAATATTTATTCACTATGAAATGATAATTGCAGTATAATCAAGGGAGGAGAGGGACAGTAGTTTGAAAATCGCACAAATAAACTACGTACACTGTTGCTCATCAATGTGGAATGTTTTTGTCCAACCGCTTTTCATGAAATGAGTGTGACAATATGACTCATTCATGATCGATTTTACATCTTTTGAGAGCTTTATTTATCAATCTCTATGATTTTCGGTTGATCAATACAGTCCTGAGAAGATATAAACTTAATCTATGAAGAATAAATCATATTCTCGGCACAATCAGTTCATGAAAGAGGTCAGAAAAAGTTATTCCAATTTTATGGGTAAGCGTGTAAAGGCCTACACTACAGTATTGGAAAATGGCGTAGTGATATGGTTGAACCTACAACTATACAGATAGCATTTTAGCCTATCTGTCCATAATCGCCTCTCTGTATGCAACTCAACCCCACCACCTCCCCGTGGTACCAGGAGCGGCGATCCCGGGGGGGGGGGGGGGGACACGTCCCCCCCTCAATTTTTTTGAAAAAGTGAAAAAGGGAGAAAAAAAGTAAGTGTATAGCAAATACTGACAA